CTCTTCCGGTCGTTGTAAGTAAACCAAGAGCACGTCTGGGAACAATTTGGTCTTCTGCACCCCAGCGTTGCAGTTTGGCGAGTCTTCCACGACCGCGCGGACCTCTATCAACAACCGCTCTGGATGGATCGTGTTGATAAGAGTCAAGCTGGAAATCTGTCGTCAAAGCAGCCACAGCATTGTCAATGTCTTCTTCCATCTGTGCTTGGATGTATCTCTCTTGGCGTCTTTCTTCTTCTTCTCGCCTGCGTCTTCTGGCTGTCACGCCCTTCTTCATTCTGGCTTCTGTCATACCGAGTTGAACCTTTGTAGGTCCCTCGATACGGCTAACGACAGCAGTGGGATCGTAGATGAAAGAACTGTTGGGATTGTGCACATCTGGTATGCCCTTGCCACCTCTCAGATCGTGTTCAATACGAAGACGGAGCTCGGGCAGGACTTCAATTCCCTCGGGGACATAGGTCATTGGATGACACTCGATGATCTTCTGTTTGAGTGCCTGTGCTTCTGGGCCGTCTGGATTGATATGTGGCTCCATGACCAGAGTTTTGGTGAAGATTTTCCCGTCAGATGCGGAGAATGAAAAGGGTTCCTTCTTCAGTCTGCCTTCTTCAATGAGCCCGTTCAGAACTCGGTCCAGAGTATGACGATCGGGTTGACGATGGAACTCTCTGTCCCATACTGTGACAAAAGGATAATAGAGTTCTCTATCGCCACCGAACATGCCGCCATTCTGGTGTACAATCTCGAGGAGCACCCTGTTGCGATTGTAGCTGACAATACCTCCAGAGCGGCCAACACCGACTTTGGAGGGAGCTTTGGCGCGAGAAGCGAAGCGAGCTGCGGTAGCGGCTGATTTGACTTCTATCTTGGCAAATGGATTGTACGGAGCAGGTGTGCTTGGTGAGCCAGTCCCCTCAGTGACTTCTTCGACAGGAGGTGCTGGTTTGTCGGGACGTTTGGAAGCTCTTCGGAAGAAAGGCTCAAGGATCTTCTGTGAATTCGTGACATGAGTGGATTGCACTTGCTGGGGCTCAACCGGCTGCGGTTGTGGGTCTTCTGGTTCCTGTTCAGTAACTTGTGATGGTGTTGCTGTCGTGGGTGTCTCCAGCTCGACATTATCAGCTGCATCTGCGTCTTCCATTTGTACGTCGCTGTCCGCGGCACCAGCGGAGGCCTGCCGCTCTTCTGCCGCAACTTGAGGACCCTCTTCTGGCTCATACGGAACACTGTCGGCTCTCTGAAGGAGTAAATCCACTGCAGTGAGGTCTCCCGGCGAGATTTCGGTAGGACGTACAATAGAACCAGGAGTATCAAAGGATAGTTGTGAAACAGCAGAAGACGGGGTCTCCGGGACTGGTACTGCTCTCCTCGATGACAAGGGTGTACTCGGAGGTGATTCCATGACTTGCGCGTTGTATGCCTCGAGCTCAGTCAAAGGCCTCCATTTGCCATCATCGACAGCCTGTTCGACAGCAAGCTTTTTCGCGACCTTTTGTCGTAACGGCTCGTAGGCCTTGCGCTTGCCCTGCCTCTGAACTTGAATTCTCCTACCTCTCTTAATGATAATCTCGTCTTTAGGCTTCTCGGACCCTGTAGGTAGCGAGGGTTCTGTCGGAGCTGGTGTCTCCGAGTTCATCGTGGCCCATCTGGGCATGTCATCTGCTTGAGCAGGCTCACTGTGTCTGATCACAGACACCGAAGCCGGCGTTCCAGGCTCTGATTGAGCAAAACTCGGTTCCGGAGTCGCATCTTGCGAGGACGTTAAACGATAAGAGTCCTCGTCGGTGAACCATGGCAGAGACTTCAACTTCTCAGACTTGAAAACAGCGATGAGATACCTTGAAGGGCGCCCCTTTGGCTGAGTCACGTCGTTTTTCAGCTGACCAGAGCCCGGAGGGTTGATGTAGACACCAGGCTTGGCCATGTTAAGGATCTCAAGCTCAATATCGGCCACACGCTTGTCAAGCTCTGGGTTGGCGAGCATCTTCTCGGTAGGGACAGCGTCGGACTTTTTGGCAGCATTTACGTCGCTTTGAGTGGGCCTTTGAGCCAGTGCGGCGGCGTCTTCTAGGCCGGGCTGCTGTTCAGGGCGTTCAATCGACGGTAATGGAGTGATCTCTGTTGCCCTCTCGGACGCTTGTAGGACAGGTCCATTTGATGAAGCAGCTGTCAAGGATTCTGAGGTTGGAGCAAGGGCCTGGCCAAGAATTCCAGGCTCAGGATCAGCCTTGTCGACCTTGGTAGATCTGCGACGCTTCTTTGGCTTGGTCACATCCTTCTTGACGTTCAAACCAAGCTCTGCTTTTGCTTTCGAAACAGCGAGCTTGTGCGATCTGACCTTCCACTCGTTGAGCTCAGCCTCGACACGTTTAGGGTTCATCTTAAACATGACTTTGTACACCTTCTTCTTGTTTGTTAATGGGCGTGCAGAGATGGGAGTGGCGTCTTCTCTATCTTCGACAGATTCAGCTGGCTGTGCAGCCGACAAAGGCACTTCGAAAGGTGTGGCTCTCTTTCTGGGTGTCTTGAGAGCGCTTATACTTGATAGTGGATCGGCGGAGGTAAATGCTTTCTTCTCCCACAAAGGTCTCTTCGGCTTGCTTTTCGATCTGACAAGAACGTTTTTGCAAGCGGCAATGTTGTGCGTGCCATCGTGACCTACCATGGTGGATGGCTTGACTTTAGGAAAGCCCCAATTGTCAAGATCGGGCTTTCTTTGGATCTCTGCCGGGTTGATGTCGATTGCCTCCCAATTGGCCTCACCATTCTCCACCATTTTCTGGAAGTTGTGATAGCTTCGAAAGACATAGTGCGAGATTCTATGCAGCTGGGAAGTGTCTCTGACGGTGGCAAGATGGCGAAGATGGAGAGGTTGTGATACAGTCCAGACATCGGTGAGCCTACCCATGATCTCGTCCAGCGGGCGTCGCCAGAAAGGACCCAGTCCGAAGTTGGCAAGATCCATGGTGCTCAGTCCCTTAGTTCCAGCACTTGCAATAATCTGCTGGAAGAACTGTGTATGATGCATGTCTGGTCGCCATTGAGGTGGCACACGCCTGGTGATCTCAGTCATCTTGCCTAGTCCGTCTAAAGCCGCAGCATCAATTTCGACATAGTCATCATCTTCATCAGCATCGGCTTCTGCATCAGACTCCTGATCTTCAGCGGCCTTGCTGACCTTGCCAGACTTAATTGTAGAGGTGAACGCTTCAAGGTCTTTTTCGACAGGTTCGCGCATCAGCTTGATGCATCTGATCCAGAACACGTTCTCTGGGTCGTGTTCGGTTTTCTCGGCGTCGACCTTCTCGGTGAGGGCTTCGGGATCAATCTCGTAGCGATGATCGTAAGCTGGAGTAACTCCTTCAGCTTGCTTCTTTACCTGCTTAGGACGTGCGCCTTCCAGACGAGCGCGGAGTCTCTGGACACAGCCGGCTCTCTCCAGTCTCTTGATGCATCGATGAAGAGCTCTGGTCTCCCAACGTGATCCGTGGATGCCCATCTCCTTGCGCAGGTCTTCATATGCAATGAGACCATCATGCTTCTTCAAAGTGGTCATGACTTCGCTGAACCATTGCTCATAGTTGATCATGCGACGAGTACTGCCTTCGCCTTTACCAGCCTTTGCCTTTATCGTGTAGAATGTAGAAGTGGGTTCGAGTACCAGTTTCTTTAGGCGAAGCAAACTGGTCTTGATGCCACCACCTAAGCACATCTCCTTGGTAATATATCCCTTGGTGGCAAGCGAGTCAGTACGTTTTGGCACCGAGCGTTTGTCTTGGCCAGTGATTCTGGTGACATCTGGCTGGAGGACGCCTTCGCGACCGGCGGCAGCGATGACTTGAAGACAGTGAAATTCGAGTTTCGGAATGCGTTTCCAGTCGACATCATGTTCGGTAAGGGCATGCCAGACTCGATGCTCGGTAGTGTACAATCTCTCCTTGGCATGGGCAGCAAAGACTGGAGCGAGTGGATTGGAAGGGTCGATTTCAGTGAACCTTCCATATGGATCATCTGTAGCAGAGGGATTTTGGATGACAGTAACATCAGGGTGGTCGACGAGCCAAGTCCAAAGCTTTTCGAGGTGTTGCGGATCCGAAGCTTGCGAGTTCGCAGTCGAATTTGCACCAGGCGGTTTCAAGGAAAAGAGGAGATCTCCATCGTCTGTATTGTCTTCATCTCTACTGTTGTCTTCTTCGACAGCGTTGTTGTTGTATTCGACAAAAGCAGCACTCAGGGCCGTGATGGTGAGTCNCTACATTGTGTTATGTAATTAGTACATGGCGTTGGTCATTGCAAAGCGCGACATAAACTCCTCTCCATGCATTAAAGTCGAATAAATCATTTCTGTCTCCACCAGAAAAAGAGATCGGACCACAGCAGAGCAAACAACGCAAGACAAAGACGTACCGATGTCACCAGAAAGAGCGACTTGGAGCAGCAGGTGCTCTAACAAAACATCCGAGCCAGTCGCCATGGCTGGGCATGACTTCTTGATGGAAATGGTCCTGATGCGGTCGAATGGGGAAAAGACGCGCAGATGCGATGCGCAAGGCGAGATTCGAACCTGTGTGTGAATTTCGAAGTTGTGTTGAGAACGTTGTGAAGCTCACTCAACACTGGGGTCTGTGCGCAACGCGACGCGTCACTGCGAGAGCGACCCTGGCATGTCTGATCTGTCGACGACAGCAGTGAAGGCGAGAATGCTTCATCAGATGAAACTGGGCCTACATGAACTGTAGCTATGATAAAGTAGTAGCCATATAGTTGGTTGCATCAAAGAGAACAACATGTCATCGCCAGAGTGATCGTGGATATCGAATAGTTGGTTCTATAGACTATCCGAAAACTCCCTTGCACCCTCTCCAACACTGTTCTCGTGTTCTTCATGAATAGGCCCGACAGTTCTGTAACCAACCAGTTCAATAATGCACACACTTCTATCATAACGCCATGACGTATAGCCTGCCATATCCTGCATCAATACCTTTGCATAGCCTTCAACCAGCCCTCCACCCAGCCAAGTTCGGAGCACCAGCTGCATGCTGCTCTCTACGCTTCTGCTCCTCTTTCTCATCGTCGTCAGCCATTCTCTTCTTCGACGTTGNCTTTTTGATGGCCGTCATGGTGTGCTCCCATATCTTCGGTCCGGCGTTCTTTTCACGGTATCTTGCAAGGATGCCCATGTCGCCTGCTGGCCTACCATCCCAATCGAGCAAATATGCTCCAGTCCCCTTTGNTCCATCTATACCAACAGCAATGTCCAGACCCCCGTTTAGCGGTATTCCAGCTACTCCATCTCTGGCCTTGTACATTGAGCTAGTGATCTGGAAGAGATGTCTCTCGCCGCTTTCTCGGAAATTCAAGATCCAGGGTGTCATGACCGAATACAGTACCTTGACCCCAAGCCTGATAGGTCCGGTGAGTTGATTCGTGATTCCCGACTTGACAGTACCAGGGTAGGAATGACTGAATGACGTTTGCGGATATCTTTTGGCCAATTCTTCCATCATGAAGTCCGTCATCATAACACAGTGTGAGAGGCATGCATGCAGGGTGTAGTTTTTCCTGAGATCCATATCGTCCAAGTCAATGTCAGCTTCTGATCCTGCTGCAAGGACAGTCAAGACGCGTGATAATTCGTGGTTTCTTCCAGCGGCTGTGAGTTCGGGCATAAGATTCAGGGTAAAGCGTATTCGGGAGTAATAGTTGACAGCCATTTTGTGGTCGAGTCCCTCCGGTGTTTCTGTGTAACTACTGTTATGATTGTGCAACATTTTGGCTGCGATAGCGACTTACCATTNTCGACCGCTGAGTGACATGTAGCCAGCAGAAAGAAACAAGATATTTATTTTCTTTTCCCTTCGTTGCAGCTCCAGGCAAACCTCGTCGACATTTCTTAGTGTGCTTATATCCTTCTTGATGAAGATGGCTTCCGATCCAGGATTCAAGTCTTTGAGCTCTTTGCATAGACTGTTTGCTTTGTCCTGACTTCNTGGATATGACTGTCAATATTCGAAGAGTACCAAAAAGTATGGCTGAACTCGCCTGCCAATAATGTATGCTCGCGGTGTCGTCGTCCGCATGAACAACTCCTTGACTGTGCTCTCGGCGACACCATTTGTACCTCCAACTATATAGCATCAAGCGCAAGTCAGCAACAGTATCTTCAAACCAAAGCTGTCCAGTAAGACCAAAGCGATATGCGTACGTGGAGACAGGAAAGAATCACTGCCTAATAAGCACGTATATGGGAAACATTGGGCAAGGACAAGGGGCGGGACGAATGGGCAACATGACATACCAAACACAGCTACCAAGTTCTCCAAATTACTGGCCTCGAGATTTGATGTTCTGATAGATTCCAGCGAAACCATGCCTTTGTTTTCGGAAAAGATGAGAGATGTAGGTGTGGTGACGTTGGCAGCTGGAGGCGTCCAGCCTGCGCGCTCGTCGACCGACATTTTGAAAGCCTGTACGTTATGCGGCTCTGCTGATAGGATTGCCAAAGCCTCGTGAAGTCAAAATTAACCTCGGGACAGAAATTTTGCCAAGTTGGTTGTTGATGGAATCGATGCGGATAGGTTGTATGTCGCCGCGTGGAGTTCTCTACTTTGAGGACCGGCTGCGGATGAGATGGAAGAAAGAAGAAAGTTTGGTGTCAGAAGAAGCGGAGATGCCAGGATGAGCTATACCATCTGCCTCTGTCAATCTAGCTGGTGTTCTCTAATCCTCTTTTTGAACAAAGAAAGAGTGCAGTGCACCCACAGGGCTCGTATGTACCAATCCGATCGACGACCTCCCCAGAAATCTGGATCGAAAGGACACCGGAGCTGGACACAACTCCGAAAATGACGACACCTGCATGCATCGTTTCTCAAGCTCTTCGCTTGCTTATTGTCATTTACTTTTTTGACAGACACACATATGGACTGGCCTTCCAATCTTAAAATACACTAAAATGAAATTATCGTTATCGTGACTATCTGAAACTAAGCTGCTGTTTGGGTATCCTGAAGGGACGATAAGGAAAGAATACAAGGCAACACAAGCAAGAAGACCAAGGTAGGTAGCGGCGGAGCTGTCTCCACGCTCAAGCTCATCGGCTCAAAAGGCCGCCTCCGAGAGACGATAGGACATGCTGCATCAAGGATTGCTGACCTTTGGCTTCTTGCGAATCATGGACGCTCCTAGGACATTCACGGCAGGTGCTTCCACAGCGGCCGATGCTTGGGCTCCATCGTCAACGTTCTTCCTCTTCTTGCGAACCAACATGCCAGACAAATCATTGACCTGGCCAGATGTGGATGTCGCGGCCCCTGTTGCGACAGCAGTGCGATCTAAGACTGATTGCGCGCCTGTGATTTCTTTGCCCCAATCTGCAGTGGGCATCGTGATTGCTGTAACTTCACTGAGCCATTTGCGCGTGCTGCTAGTGGCAGCATCAACATTCGAAAAGTCGAGGCGTAACAGCAAGTCATGGACTCTGGTGTAGGACGCGTGCTCGAGCAAGATCTGACCGCGACCCTTTTCTGGCCACTCTTTGCTATTGGACTTGTCCGAGCGCGACGACAGATTTGAAGAAGACGACTTGATCTTTGGTTGACGGGGTATGATTGGTCCTGACAGCTTCTTCCNCCTCAAACTCTTCCTTGGACTTGACTTGTTAGCCTCCGAGGCTTGACCAAGGCTTTCCTGGCTTGAAAAGATTTGGTCTGCTCCGAGCAATTTGTCTGCATTGAACGAAGTAGCTGGCGTCAGGTTTGCGACAGAGTCTTCCAACGACTGGATGGTGGGCTGGGTGGGTGTGAAGGCGAGCCAGATGAAACCGACCATTCTGCCAGAGGAACACTCTTGTCTAAAAGCCATGGTGTCCCAGAACTGATCCAGAGTCCTTATGCTCTTCCACATGCCGTTGCCTTTCTTGGAGGGCGAAAAGAAGGACTGCGAAGGTTGCGAGTCGGGTATTTCGGCATCGAGTTCGTCGAGGTAGCGAGCTTTGGGATCGTCGGGGAAGTGTGGCACGAGACAGCGAGGCGGAGCGGAGGGATTGGGAGCGATGTCGAGAAGTGGATGGCCGTGTCGCCATTTGCGTTCGTCGGGCGGATCGGAGCGGTAAGATGGAGGAAAGAACTGGGTGGTTTCGTAGGAATCGAAGCCAGGTACGATGACATGGGCGCGAGTGGTGTATGCGTCGTCGGTGTGGTGCCTCAGAACGGGATCGAGAGTCTTGCACCACCACTTGACGAGTTGACGGTCATCCAGGACATGCTTTGCACCATGGTCGACACTTCCGGGAAAGAGGTATTGGCCCTGGGCTCTGGCAAAGAGCGAAACGACAAGCGGGATGCCAGGTCTCTGCCTAGTCTCGGCAAGCCATGTGACGAAGGTCGAGGTAAGTGGCCGGATAGGCGACTCTTCTCTGGGTAGATAACCGGTCGAGTCGGCCTTGGAGACGAACAGGGTCGTCAGGGAGGCAGTGGTGTAGACGAGGACCTCGATGGCGTAGACGAAGACATTGCTTGTGGAAGAGAGAGTGAGAAAGTGAGATTCGCATTTGGTGCGTTGCGGCCTTGTGGCCGGGGGNNGAGCAGCAAACAGGGCGTCTGACTTGGTCGGCCGCGTCGAGAGATGGTGGATCCTGTATGCACTCCCTGCGCCAAACACTGCCTGCAACCGTGAATACAACTCTGCCCTGCTGAGCGCTGACTGCCCTTCTTCCATCTTGCTAGAAATGCTTGACCAATTGAGTGACCAAAACAGACGGCTACCACTAAACATTCGCTGCTCCAAACACTCCGGCCGCAACTGCCGAAGTTCAACCGTGCCTGCCAGTTCAAGAAAGATTCCCGATTCACTCCCGCCAGCGACCAGGTGAAGGGGAGAAGCAGCAGCAGCAATCAGTATAAGAGGAGGACCAGAGACAAAGGCGAAATATCCCATCTGCGCATATACGACCACACACAACCTCAGCATGAGCGCACCCGCACTATCGCCGCCCGCCCTCATCGGCGCCGCCTTCAGATCATCCTGCACCCGTCCTCAACTCTCTCGTTGCGCCAGCCGCCTCACGCAATCCTCAACCAACAGCTATGCTACCTCGTCCGAATCACACACTCCCCGCTGGGCAGCCACTCCATCACGTATGGCCATGCCTGTCCGCGCACGACCTGGTCCTCGCCAACGCCAATCTCCTCCCTTCTCCGTAAATGCAGACCCCTCCCTCCTCGACTCAGCATACACCTCCTTCCTCGGCAAGAATGGTGACGCCATCTTGCCCGAAGAGNNACTCAAATGGCTAGCCGTTACCCACAAGTCCTTCGATCATGCGAGAAGAGGCTTCAACGACAAGCTCGCCTTTCTGGGCAAGAGACTGTGCGATGTGCAGTGTTCGCTTGCCCTGATCGAGCAGCCCTCGAATACCTTCCACCACGGTCTTCAAGGCTGGCAAGAGACAAGGGGAAACAAGCAGTGGTCGCATCCGGCCATGAGNGGTGTGGAGAACCTTTCCGACTTTGCAAAGAACAAGACGCTGGACAAGGAGAGATTGGCCTCTTTGGCGCGGCAATATGGCTTGGACGCTGTGGTGAGATGGAAGCCGAGAAACGTGAGTCGCTGGAAAGAAACAAAACTCGAAATCGCCAAGAACTGACAGTGTTTCTACAGNGTCGACAACCTCTCATCATCTGGTGTTGATGTCGTTCTCGCCCACACTCTCTACTCAATCGTCGGTGCCGTAGCCATGGAGAAGGGAGGAGACTTTGCAAACAAGATTGTGAGGGAGAGGATACTGAACCCCTTGGCCTCAAGTGATTTTACGAAAAAGCGACCTTTTATTGCATATACCTGTACAATTCTGTATAACACGCAAAACACATCTTCTCATACACACGTCCTTTTCTGCGAGGAAGAACACCACAGTATGGCACTGTCGAGAACGATCCGAGGGAAAGGTCCAATTGCCTTCTTCTCCCAAGAACATACCACAGTCAGAAGAAGAGCCTGAAACATGGCCTGCTAGTCTGTTTCGCAAGCTTTGTGAAACACGGCCATCAACCAGCCATATGAATTCTTCTACATGTACAAGAATGCCACTTTCGTGCCCCGGCAAAAGAAAACGCCCTGTATATTCCTACACCCTTTCCATCTCTGCTTCAACGTCTTCTCGTCAAACCCCTCCTTTCAGCATTCTTTGCCTTCCTCACAGCAGCCTTCCTCCAAGCCAAGAATCTGTTGCCGGGCTTGAACGGCGTAACCCTGATGCCAGCCCTCTCAGCAGCCCTTCCAATCTCCCAGTTTGCAGCACGGTACTGGTATCCAGGTCTCAATGTCGGAGTCGCCCTGACTACCTCACCAGTCCTCTTGTCCTTGACTACCACCTTTGCCCTGTTTTCCTTGGGTTGCTCGCGGATGGTTGACGCAGAAGCTGCGCCCATGCCCGCATTCCCAGAAAGTCCAGTCTCGGGGCCGGTGACAAGATCGCCTTGTAGCGAAGACTCGAGGTGTGGGCTCTCCATCTGGTAGGCCAGCATGCCCAGGCGTCGTCTGCGCACTGCATGGGGTGGTTGCGGCAGCACTTGGGCGCGCTCGAATACCACTCCAATGTATTGGCGCTTGGGATGCTTGAGCGGATCTTTGTAGTATTTAACGTAGCCGGGTTGGGTGGCGTAGATGGTGTGGTCGCGGCCCATAGCGCAGTTGTCACCAGGGAACCATTTGGTGCCGCGTTGGCGGAAGATGATGTTGCCGGGGATCACGTATTGTTNCTAGTTGGCTCGAATGTCAGTTTCTGTTTCTCCCGTCCGTGCTACTCGGTCCTCTTGTGTGTATCTGGTTCGTCGGAGTGAAAGAGGAAGGAGAAAAAGTGGTGGTGCCATGTGCACCTCTCGATGCGTGTGTGTCTCTCATGTGTAGCACATACCTCCACTCTTCTTAGCACCCAATCTCTTTCCTGCACCGTCCTTTGCAGAGTTGGCGGCTCCCTGGGCCTTATGCGAGGCATGGCGCACGGCAATGCTGGTGGTTTTTGTGACTGCTGGCGACGAGAGGCGCAGAGCCGACAGTGCGGTCTCGATGGTGGCAATGGCTGGCGAAGAGCCCGTGGGCAGTGCCCGTATCCTTGGGAGCAACATGGTCGAGCGGTGTGTGTGGTTGCGCTGCTTGCTGCCGACTGCGAATGTCGCTGGCCTTCAACTTTCCACTTGCATTCTGCCGCCTCCGCAATCACGTTAGGAACGTCTGTTGAGAACATGAATATCCATGTCCCTCCGTGACTTGACTCTCTCTCTCTCTATAACCAAGCGGTCTTCTAATGAACTTCTGATGAGCGACATAAGGTATTTGATTTCGATCATGTGCAGCTGAAAATCTCGTCTATCCATCAATACCTCTCCCAGGCTTCGACCCCCGCCTCATATCCAGCGCCGCCCTCTGCTCGTCCAACTCCTCCTCGCGCATGTGTGCCGTCAATGGGCTCGTAGCTGCCGCCGTAGGTCTGGCTATAATCCCTTCCATGTTAAGTACAGTTTGCGCGCTCCAGCTCCCGCTCCTTTCTCTTCTCATATCTGCATTCGCGCAGCTCTGTCGCGTACCCACAAGTGTCAACTCGTCAGAGTCTTCAAGCTCTTCCGTTATCTTTTCCAGCCTGTCTGTACTCGACATGGACTTTGGTGCAACTGGCTCTTCCTGCTCGACTTGTCCCATTTCTACGTCGGGCTCGGTCGCTCCAGCTGTGGGTACCGTGTTGAGTGTCAAGCTCCATCGGGGCGGTTGCCGTTCTTTGGTGGCTTGTGGGAACAAGTAGACGATGAGTGGTTTCAAGGCGAGTAGAGAGGCGCATATTATGCCGACGTTAGCTTCGACCATCGACCATGTCACTGCTTTTGCCGAAGATGCCGTAAAGTCGTGTCGAGCGTACGCATTGTGCACCAACACGAGCCTGACAATCGATACCGCACACGTACTGTGCTTGACGTTAGCTAATCGATCGCTGCACAAAAAGAGTATGGATCTTACAANGAAGCCCAAGAGGAAGACGCCCACCAACGCGATCTTCTGCCTCTTCGGCAACTTCAAGCGTGAAATGACCGGCATCGGTAATGCCAGCACTGCAAAGTCGAGCACGATATTGACAGCCGTGACGCTCAACCAATACGTTCTCGTCCCCAGGCAGTGGCCAGGTACCATCGGTCGCCACACCTTTCTGACCGGATCACAGATAAAGACGGAGGCAAAAACACCCCAGAGCATAGAGGGCACAAGGGCAGCGAAGAGGAGCCATGTCAGCTGTCGCATAGTGCGAGTGGGAAAGATGCGCAAGTACTGAGTAAGGATCGAAGCTTTGGTGACATGGATCAGGGCGACGTAGAGGACGTTCCAGCTGAGGAAGAGTTTGGCTGTCGTGGAGTGGAGGTCCAATGGGTTGGACCAGGCGTAGCTGCCGAATCCTGTCATGACCATGGCCACGGTAAGACCAAGAACAACCCAAGAAAGGANACTGCAGACATGTTAGCTTGATTCTGTGATACGCGGAAGTATCATGGGAAACGGTGGGATGGTAAGCAATGGTCTGGTCAGGAGATTGTGAAATGTCAAGAGTGCAAAGAAAAGAGACTCAAACAGACGAGTTGAGGCAGCTTCATGCACAGCTCCCACCTTCCCAAAGATACTCACAAGCGACACCATGATGACAAAATCATCAAAGCCTACAGTCTTGACAAACTTGCATCGTACAATGAGCCTCAATATCACTACAGCCGTCGCCAGTGTGGTTGTAATGATGGTAGGTGTAAGAGCATCCCAACGGAGGTTTGGTTTATGATGCGACGGGTCTGCCACCGCCATTGTCGTCGTCATATCTGATTAAAAGTCCAAGGTAGTCATCAACGTAGTTGCTAAAGGTGGTTAGGGAACAAAGAGTGATAGAAAGTCGGTAGGTAATGTTGTGGCGAGGTGGATATTTCTTAGAGATACATCGATATAGAAGGAGCGCTTGCAATGACACCTTCCTTGGCCTCTTGCTAACATCATATTACACAGACACCGACATTTACCCAATAACAATTCTACCTTTTTTCCTCTTTGGCGTGTGTCGTGCTGCTGTTTGTGAAACGTTGTGTAACTCCTCCTCAAGATGGACATGTGGTCCACCAAGCCATGTGACTTTGTCTCTTTTGAATCTTGTCCAGTCTACCATCATCAAAAGCTAAAGCTTGAGCAACGAATCAAGCTTGATGAAACGAAACTCTGACATCGGATATCTGGGGTACAAGCTTCGGACAGTATCGAACGTGGAGACGAGATGCAGGTGGTGTGAGGTTAGCTGAGGACGCGAACCTCTGCTCTCAGGTATCTGCTGTCTTCCAGGACAACGCAACCTTAGTAGCTGTGATGACGGCTCGAGGCAAGAGGATAGCATAGGAGGGTGTTTTTGACCTCCGAGCAAGTGTGCTGTATTCGTGTCCGGAACGTGGTACGTAAGCCACAGAAAGTCGAACCAGCATGACGGTCAAAACCAGCCGGTTGACTGCAGATGCTCCCCGAGTTGCAACATTCCGTGTGCCAAAACTCCAGAACAATGCATATGCGTGGAGACGTGATTCAAGCAGATACCGCTAGGCACTCGCATCATGTCGAGCTTCATATGTGAGTGCCATCATGCGAAGTATACTTGATGTCGACCGATGGTCGTATAGACCTCAAACAGAGCCTTGGAATCCAGTTTGTATGTTGTTTGAACCCACTAGTTGCAATAGCGGTGGCATGGTGAGGGCAAACCAATCAATCAGTTGCGAGAGAAGAGAGCCATCTTTGCTTGGAGGTATGCCTGAACAGCGGCATCGTTGGCATCCCGCGGCCGGCCAGAGCTAACAGTGTGAGCCGGAAGGGATTGAGTCCAGGCTTGAATAGCAGATGGATTATATCCGCCTTGTAGGTGAGCCGGCATGGCGTGGGTGGTTGGTGGGGAGGAACTCATGTTCTGTCGAGAAAGGCTGTTTGACGATTTGGTGAATGACGACATGTCGATGGTATAGAGTTGCAGGAAGCAATAGGAGAATATATACGCTGGAGGGACGGGATATATATGATACAGCTGTGTCAACCGGATAAATTGAGAATGAAATAACAGGACAAACTTCTGACAGTTCGAAGATAAGAGCAGACGCTGCACTGATATCGACACGTCTTAAAGGCCGGGCAGCCTCATGTATTTGTGTATTCTACAAATTCTTGACTGATGTAGGTTTCGGAAGCCAACGGTCTGATTGTTGGACGAACTCGAAGTGGCGCGCACGCTCCGGGAGCATGTTTAAACCTGCCCTGACATCGCGTGCAGCAAGAACAACCGTGTTCGTATTGCAAATATATGGTTCATGCAACCATCGATTCATGATCGATGTCCGGCTGGTTGGTCGGTCAGGTTGTGTTTGGGCGAAGGAAGAAGTAAAGGCCGTTGTGCCCGCGTGTTTCGAGGGTAAACTTCTTGGAGCCGCCGTTCGGCGACGCCTGAATAGGCCAGGGAGGGGCCCATCTGACAAATATTGTGCATGAACAAGCAAATGGAACTGTAAGCGTCGTGTTATCACTGACGTCGAGTCACCCATCAGCGCTGCAACCGAGCTGCTCTTGCTAGAAGCGAGGTGAGATAGCGTTCTGAAAGACATGAAGCAATCTAGCTGGTTTCAGGCTTGTGTGTGCACGATCCGGACTCGAAGTCGAACAAGCACCATGATATCAGGGTCTCAACCCCACGCGATGATGGCAGCACTGTACCTCCATAGAGGAGATGAATTGTTTCCGACGACAAGCTGCAAATAATCTTGTTTGTTTTGGTGGCTAGCCTTCCTGCGACACGCGATCAGCTTGACAAATACACTGCTTAAAAGCACGACGTTGTTCTCCGTAGAAGGATCAATCATGCAGATCCATCACCGTCGCGAGCTCATCCATTTTTAACCTGACTCTAAGATTTCTGTTAAAGATGTTTATTCGCGGCTAGTCATGGCGATGCCGAAGGAGCGAAGAAGAAGAAATCGCAACTGGTTTGTGTGTCGGCAGTGGGCCGTCTGCTGAAGAGTTGAATCCTGAGGACGTCGATTCCAAATCCCCAAACAAGCCATCTTGGCAATTCGAGTCTAAACTTGCCGTCTTATCAACCAAGCCTCCTATGTCCTTTTGGCTTCTGTGTTATGGCGCACGTTCTTTTCCTTGCAATGGGCCTAGATTCCACAAGATAGGTATGCTTATCCTGCATGGTTCGATGGGATACAAATCTGCTGGATATTTGCACGTCGTGTCTCGAGTCGTCAAAGAGTTGCACAGAATTCTATCGTTGTTGAAAGAAGCTTTTGTTCTCTTGCCGGTGCTCTGTAAAAGAAACAGCCAATCAGACGCCATACGAAGCATTTCCAAATACCCTATAAGGCTGCAGGTCGACACACTCAGAATACGACATCAATAATATGAAGCCGTTGCGACCGTCCAACCAACATATCTCATCGAGGTATGAGCTGCATCATGGATGTGTCAATGACGTGTGGAATATATTATCCTGCATGATCAAAGAATCCATGCCGTTGTCTCTCTTTGTTGTTCGTCTCCGGGTGTTCTTGCCTTAAGACAGCCATGCTTGAATGCCCTTCCCGGGCTTCGGTTGAGAGCCGAGTAACGGTAAGCAAAACCTCTCGTACGTCGTACATCGTAGACAAGGCGCGGCTTGCTCGTGTAGCCCACATGAAAAAAGGCATGCGTGCATGCTTGTCAGGCTGGCTGATTCTCTCACCGCGAAGGTGGACCTTCATCAAGCCACCATCGACTCTCTTTCAGATGCGCTACGACGTTGAGACGCTTGTGAGGGGATGGCTCTGTGGGCTAGATAGCCCGCAAGAAAGCCGGATGTCGTATGGTAATAGTAAGTCAGTCCTGAGATGCACGTCAAGCGGGTACTCTCGGGAATTGCAGTAAGCTTCGGTGAATGGAGTATCGCGAGATACTACCTATTGGGGGCAGAGCGCCGCTTGAGAGCACTACTTATCTTGGCAACAACGACTGTGTGTATGTCGAGGAACGACTGCTGATACTCTAATTACCATGTGTGGAGTTGCACTAACTAAGGGCTGCAAGCAAATTATCCAGAGCGCTATGCATCTAAGTCCCAGAGCCATGGGTAACCCCGATACCAAGAAAGAAACAAAACGAAGAGACCAAAAAGCAACGGAGCAACCCACCGGGACCATTCTGGTGATGACAATTAAAAAAAAATCCTTCGCTCCTTGTAATCGACGAACAACGGTGAAGACTCGTTCCACCCAAAACTTCCTGCATGCCAGAACCCACCAACAGCAACTGTTAGCGTTGTATCCACTTCTCTTCAGGAGTCGAAGATGGCGCCAAACACCGGAATGCCACGGCACTCAAGGCCGCCGACTACCATTCTGGTGACTTTGGCGTTGGAGATGATGATGATTACTTCCGATTGAGACTCAACATATCTGGCGTGAGCCAATCTGACAATGTCACCCCTGCCTGCCTTGGAGGTATCAACGATGCATGCGCCGGAGTCTGCTGTGTAGACCGAATTGATGATAGCGTCGCCGAAGGATTCTCTAGGGTTGGAACTCATCCAGAGTACATGCATGGGGTGTTCGGGGCAGCTTTCCAAGAGCGAAAGACATGGGCCAATGCCAGTGCCGGTTGCAACGACGAGGACCTTTTTGAACATGAGAGCTACGCGCATCACGCCAAAGATAGGTGCACCTTTGACCCAGATGCGAGTGGGAGGGTTGTCGATGAAGTTAGACGTCCAGTCTCCAGCTCTCGACATGAGCACTCTGAAGCCCTGTTCGTCGCCAACTCTAGAGATAGTGGCAAAAGAGTGAGTCTCCTTGAGTGGACTGTCGGTGATGCGGATACCTTGACATGTGTCCATACGCTTGTAGTCAAAGTAGAGCAGAGCAGCTGCCGGTGAGAGAACCTGGACACGGACTTCGCGTTCCCTGAGACGACTCCAGGGATAGACAATGGCCAAGGTGATAACAATTAAGCNACCTGCTAAGTGAGTCTGGTTAGCGAAGTTCCAACAAACAATCTCAGACGAAGTCATCGTCCAACATGTACATCCATCGCAATGCAGATGGTTAAATTAGACAGACCAGATGTCCACTGAGAGCCGTGCCAAAGCATACTCTCGTTGGAAGCATGCTAAAAGAGAAATGACACGTTGCATTGCGATAGGTGTGGATAATGGTGGCTTCTGACAGATGGAGTGCTTCCACTCTTATACATACCAGAACAGGGNGCTCTCAGCCAGGAGAAAACCAGGAGACTCGCCGTATAGCTGGTGCGAGGCGAAGACTGAGGCACCGAGCTGGGCCCAAAGGAGGCCGATACAGGTCCAACCAGCGTAGCGATGAACGGCTTCAAAGGTGTTGTGGTGAGAGACACGGAACGCAGGGAGCGCGGACAGGCCAATAGCCAGGAGAAGTATGCTGACAAACGCTGCCAGGGTGAAAGCGGACCTGTTGTCCGGGTTCCTGAAGTCGACGCCCAGGAGAATGGTGAAGGCCAGGTACCAGAGCGTTCCAGCTGTCGCGCAACCGGAATGAAAGCTACCATATGAATAGACTTTGGCTCCAATTCTGCGCACCGACAGAGGTGCTGAAGGCTTGAGAGTGCACACGGAGCGGAACATGGCATTGACAACGTGCTCGTTGCGGACGAGGATGGCAATGCAAAGGTTGATGGCGGCGCCCGTGGCAGCGTCCGAGCTGGTGATACGGGTGAGAGAGATAGCCAAAGTGGTGGCAATGAGGTTGGCAAGGATAGTGAAGGCGAAAATCAGTCTGTAAAGGGAGAAGAAATCCCAGAAACGTCTAGTGGTCTCGGTGCCCAGCTGAGGAGGGAGCTCTTGGGCGCAAGCAAGCCATTCCAGCTCATCCTTGTCGGTGATGATGGGGTCCTGGCCCTTCTCACAGGGCTGCTCCTGCTCCTCAGGGATGGGAGAAGAGATGGAAGGGGATTCCAGGAGAGGGTGCAACCACGGCTTGTCGGCCAGATCATGGTTCGAGTATGGGTTGGTCTGCAGGCGAAGGGCACGAGCAACGCGTCTTTCCTCAGGGGATAGACTAATAGAGCCACAGTGACCTCCAGGCTCGGAATTGGCGCGAGGGCGGGTGGCATCCATCTCGATGACCACAGTCACGGCCAAAGGTCCAGAGAAGCGGCGTGCAGACATCTTGGGGCGCCATTGTTAGGTGGATGTTGGCGGATGTATTGTGGCCAGTGCCATTGACTTACTTTTCCTAGAGATACTGAAGTAGACCGTGACTCTACAGATACCTCCTTACGGCAGAGCTGTGTCTTGGGGGACACGATTCTGATCGATGAGAGTTGGAAGATAATGCAGTCAAAACAGGCGTGGGTGAACACAACGGCGCAACCGGCAAGAAAGATGACAGAACAAAAACATGGGCGAACAATGGGTGAAAGTACCTCAGGATGTCGTAGGACATAGGTCGTAGGCGTGAGAGTGGAAATGGTGAATGGATGAGATGTGAGTTTTCCGAGTCTTCATCCGCTTTGACCACCGCCGACCAACCGCGCAATCGGATAGCCGCGCGTATCTTTGAAAGACCGGGCTGTCGAAGCATCCCGATGGGCTTTCCGGAGGAAGGCATGATCTGGGTCAGATAATTTTGCTGTCATGCAGTTGCCGATACGCGGTGCCCAGGACTCTCAGTGTTTCTCTATCAGAACAGAAGTAAATGCCTTCCTACCCGGATCTGTCAAAACCGATCTTATCATTTTCCATCCCTCATGCTTGTCAGAGTACATGTTTCGTAGTTTGGTACTGCATTCAACTGCACTCCATTTTCAACAAACGCTGATCAAGCTTGCATGTACGACCGATTTTTCTTGCCCCGCTTTACCTCATGTCATATCATCAAGGCTTACCGTCATTGAGGGCGATATTGGGTTATATTCCTTCTGTCGAATCCTCCAGGTGTTTCGACAGTTGGTATGTGGTCCAGCAATTGTAGTTTCCTCGAGGATATGACTTTGATTCTGGAATCGACGGATACAGCACCACGAAGCGATCTGTTGGATACTGCACGCCAACTAAAGATGACTGGCTAGATGACTAGTAGACCTAGATCGTCGGACAAGTCGACGTGCTGTAAGCATCAAGGATGATGAGATGGATATGTCCTCAATAAGCCTCACATTGGAGGCGTTAGGCTAAACATCGGTTTATATGACGACGCCAATTGGTCAATGAGAACGCGTGGATGAAGGTTAAATGTCGGCAGTATAGAGCTCAGCGACATCAATATCATCAGTGTTTGTGCTTTTGTATGTTCGCATAGCACCTGGTCCATACTATACAACACTGTCATTCAGAACTTTGGCTCGATAGCCTAAGTATATCGAATTTCTGGAGTTTCGACATCATGCTACTTCCATAACGCTTGCACCCTTTCCAGACGCCCATCGAATTGCGCAAATAATTCTCAAGATCATGCAGCTCCGCTGAAAGCCCAATGCTTCATTATCGATGATGACCTGCAGATTCAACAGGAGACTGCTTCTGTACTAATTGCAGCTTTTTCAGACGCCTACCGGATTGCGCAAATCATTCTTGAGATCGTGCACCTCCGTTGAAGGCCCGATGTTTAGTCAACAACGACAATCTGCAATCCCATTGACATGCTACTTCTATACTGCTGGTACTCCTCTCAGACGCCTATCAAAATGCACAAACTATTACCAAGATTGTGTACCTCCGTTGAAGGCCCAAGGTTCTGTCAAAAATCCAGCCATCTCGATGGACAGTCTGAAGGGTTCAAATTGTATCTTGCCTTTTGATAGCGCCGTCAACGTCGAGATACTGTCGGGAGAGACTCAAATCGACAATGCTGGTGGTTGCGTTTGAGTCGTTTGCTTTCCCGCAGCAAGTCTCGGCATGCGATGCGGCAGCTCAATTTCAGCTCTGGCTGTTTGTCTTCTTCTAAAAACATCGCCATCGAGTACCAGTTTTGTAAGTCATTTCTTTGTTTCCACTTACTCCCCACATCGTCCATCAGATCAATTACACTACCTACTCTGCTGCCATCTTCTTCCTGGCTCGCTGGTTCCCGAAACATACTGCCATGCTACATGCATTCCATTTAATGCGCATCATCTTTGGGCGGGATGTCGTCCCATGCGTAGTCGAGCTCACATCACAAGGTCCTATTTCTTGTTTCCATCTCTCTATGCTCCATACACTTTCACACACCTATCTGCTTTGCCCCTTTCTTTCATCCATCGCTGAATTGTCTCTTGCCATGTATGTCCCTTGCGTGATTGCACGAACAAAGCTGATTCAAGTCTTGATAGTTGAGGAAGATGGCTACAAGCTCGCAAGCTTTTCGTCCCTGTTACAGGGACCTGCCTGGCTTCGTCCTGGACCACGGGCTAGATGAGGACAGACCAATCCTCATCGACGCCGCCACCCCAGAGAGGGCCATCACCAAGGCACAGGCCAAGGTAATGGTGGAAAATACGGCGCAGGGTCTGCAAGCTGCGGGCCTCAAGCGCGGAGACACGGTGTGTGTTGTTCATTTGAACGACGTAAGTCAACGTGGCATAATTCGTCAAAGAACTTGCTAAGAGATACAACAGATCATGTACCCGGTAGTTTTCCTGGCCATCATCATGGCAGGNGGTGTGTTTTCGGGGGCTAACCCCATGTACAAGGCTGGTGAGCTCCGCCACCACTTCGAGGTCTCGGAGACCAAGTTTGTCTTTTCCGATCCCGCCTCCCTTGCTGCGATCTCCGAGGCCTCTGAAGGTCTCTTCGATGCTGGCAACATCATCGTCTGGGGCGATGAAGAGGCCGGTGCGTCGGTCGGTGCCCGGTACTCGCTCGCTGGGTTTCTGGCTGGTCTTGCTGATGCACCGGCCCTCGACCCGGTCTCCTTCGACGACGAGACCCGGGCTAGAGACACCGTCGCCGTCCTCATGTCGACGAGTGGCACCACCGGCTTGCCCAAGATGGCTGCCCGATCACACTTGAGTCTCGTCACCGAGAACCTGGCCATCCAAGACGGCCTTGCGAAGAACTACGAGGTCGCCCGTTTGCTCTTCACCCCGTTCTTTCACGGATTCACCGCCCCTCTCGCTCTGGTCGACGCTCTCGTTCATGGCCGAACCACCTATGTCATGCCTCGGTTCAATGTCAACAGTTGCCTGGAGTACGTCGAGCGCTACAACATCACAGAGATTGCAGCACCNCCTCCCGTTCTTTTGGCATTCCGTCGGGTACCCGAGGCCGAACGCACGGCGCTTCGCTCAATTCGTCTCATCTGGAGTGGCGGTGCTCCCATGGCGGCCAAGATGCAGAATGAAGCTGTAGCCATGTTTTACAGATACGCACGCATCGTTCAAGTCTACGGTATGACTGAGGCCGGATGGATCACGACATTCAAGTATCCCGAGATGGACGAAACCGGTTCGGTTGGCCGTATCCTCCCATCTTACGAGGCCATGTAAGTTCTTCCTCGATGTATTTCGTCAAGACCATTTTCACTGATAAAATCATCAGGATCNGTTTCGGACGAAGACGGCACAGACATCACCGCAACCCAAAAGGAAGGCATGCTCTTCGTCAAAGGCCCCATAACCATGCTCTCCTATCACAACAATCCCTCCGAAACTTTCAATACCCTCCGCAACACCTGGCTCCGCACAGGCGACATCGCCTACTTCTCCCGCGACCACAAACTCTACATCACCGACCGCCTTAAAGACGTCATCAAGTACCGCGGCTGGCAAATTTCGCCCACAGAAATCGAAGCTTGTCTACTTTCCCACGAAGCCGTTGCCGATGCCGGAGTCTTTGGGTTCTACAACTCAGACGTTGACCAAGAAACCCCTGTCGCGCATGTGGTGCTCAAAGCTGGTGTGCCGCTGTATCACGAGCAATTCGGCAGCATGACCGAATTAACAGAGTACTGCAAGGACAAGCTCGCAAAGTACAAGACGGTGGCGCTCAATGTTCGCTTCAAAGCAAGTATTCCCAAGAACCCTGCTGGCAAGATCTTGAGAGATGGGATGCGGCTTGAGGAGCTGAACTGGGGAGATGTCAGAGAGTGGATGCTTAAGTGCAGGGACTGGAACGCGGGCCCGCCTGACGAAGAAGAAATCGTGTGGGAAGAAGGCGAGGAAGGTGTGTGGCAAGATGAGGATGTCGATCAAGGTCCGTACGTCAACGAAGAGACCGAAAAAGACAAGGCTGAGAATGAGATCCTTGCAAGAAGGCTCGACATACTGGGTCTTTGATGACGACCCACCGAGGAAGAGAAGTTCACTTGAATGCTTCTACTTTTTACTGCGAGATACCCCTTTACAATGCTAATGATTGACGAGAACTCAATAACTGTCCCAACTAACTGCAGAAAGGGTATAAGAATGTTAAGGTTGTCCATCAGTCATGGTGTTTATCAGCAAAGCAACAATGCACTGCCCTCTCACGATATCAATTCCAGAACCATCCAGTACCGCCCTTCTTGTCCTGCAACTCGTGTTCGCCATCTCCGCTTGCCGACTTGTTCTTGGAGTCAGTTGATTCTTCTTCTCTGTCCTCCTCGGTGCCATCGGAGAAGCGTCTCTTCGAGACACGCTTTGTGTAGACTGATCCGTCAGGCATAGTGCGCATCTCTGTGGTGATCATGACTGAGATGACACTCGGCTTCTCTGTCTCGTCTTTGGCGGAAGATGAAGTTGATAGCGCAGAGTTGATGGGCGTAGATAGTGACTTGGGTGCATCTGTACCCTCCTTGGCATAGTCATCCTTGACTCTCCACAAGCTTTCGTACATGTCCATCTCCGTGTCAGGCTGCAAGTTGCTTCTCACGACCAAGTCCTCTGCATCGGGCGAAGCCACTATTCTCGCCAACTGCGCAAAGTCGTCGTACACGGAACGGCCATATGGCGTCCAGAAGTTGCTAACTCCAGACACGATCTTGCCGAAGACGCGATCGAGCTTTTTGGTCTCAAGAGGAGTGATGTTGTACAGACTAGGCAGCTGAGGTGGTAAAATGCCTCTGCATTGTAGGCCAAGCATCCAATCAATTCCGGGTTGAGCCCAGTGGTTGTACAAGATCTGATTGTCAGAATCAGATGCGGCAATGGAATCTTCGGCTTTCCAGGCTTCATGGGCAACTTGTGGCTTGTCGAGGTGGGCGCAGAGTAGGTCTTCAAAGGCAGCACGCCATTTGCCGCCGTGCTGGTGAGCGGTAGAGTGCTGTTCGAGTTGAATAGGCGAGTAGGGACTGTGTCTGAACCAGTCGATGCCAAGCCAAGTGGTATTGCTGGTTATGGTGCGGATGGGAAACTTGCTGTGAACAGGCATCATACCTTGACCATGATCCTGATACAGACTCAGGATCTTTCTTGGGTCGACTCCGAAACTGACATTGCGTGCTTGGAGGAGCAGTACGCGAGCTGCTTGACGGGCTTCTTCACTGATGGGGCCACCAAGATAGGATCGTCTTTCTGGAGCACCTAGGAGGGAGGTGAAGAGTGGCGGGAAGTCTTCCTCCAGACGCTTGCGCAAGTCTCGCATCTCGTCTGACCATCGCTGTTCTTCGGCACTGAGAGACGCAGAGCTGAAGCCTGGAAGGGAGTTGACGCCGTCCACCAGGGCATTGATTTGTTCATCAGCGAAAAGGCGAAAGTCGGCAAGGGNGTCATCGTCACGACGAGCTTTGTCTGCGCCTGATGAGGGCCACCAGGGAGCCATGGTTGAAATCGGTACTGTGATGCTTTGTCTTGGAAGTGCAGGTAGGAGCAGCTGGAAAGAGTAGGATTGTTTGTTCTGTAGAAGTCTAGGTTACATGTCACGAATGGGAGTGGCGACAAGACCGGCTTGACGGGATAATGTTGCAGAACAAAAAGAGATGGAAGCACGAACGCACCTGCCTGCTCCAGGTTTTTGACTTTGGCACGAGCGGGGTAGCGCCGACATGGTATAGACCACATCTTTTGTATAACTCATTATCGAGCACCTGAAATTACTTCCTGCAGCAATCGAAATGTTTGCTTGTTGGAGATGACAGTTTGTTGTTACTACAGACCATCCTACAGACATGTCGTGCTACCATCACACCAAGCTACTGTCCTACGCAAGGCTGAAGCCATGAACGCAGACTCAAGTCGCGTGTCCATTCTTCATGTCACCTTGTCGTGTGAGAGATGGTTCAAGACTAGATACTGCATACGTAATAATAAGGCTGTCGTTTGATTTGAATGCTACAGCTACTAATCTAAAGGAATGATTGTGCTACCAGGCAACGCTAATAAGAATACCAAATGTGTCCAGCAAGAAAAAGAGCAAAGTAAGAAAAGAATCCGAAAATCCAGAACCATGGAGGATTACGCCCAAACAGATATCATCTCTTCCATGCCATTGTGTGCGCCAGAATGCCGTCGTAATCATACCCGCTTTCATAAAAGATGCTCAAAAATCAAAACTCATAGGGTACGCCGTGTCGCTTGATCCCACATTGTTGTACTTGACTCTTCACCGACTTTGAAGCGATGATCACTTTCATTCGTCTTCGTCATCGTCAGCGCTTCTCTTGCGTTTGCCACCAGTAGACAAAGCAGGACTAGCAGACTCGTCTTCGAAGATGAAGATCTCTTCCTTGAGATCTGCCATGCATGTCTTCTTGGGTGGGGAGACGACGATCGGTGGGTTGCAGCTGAGTTCTTGTTTCTCGGCAGGTGCCTCGAAAGTGCACGTCTCCGGAAGTTCACTAACAACAGCAATCGAGTCCTTTGTCAAGCCTTCAGGTATGAATTCGGTTGTGTCAAGAGAGCCGAGAGGAGCACGTGCAGCCTCGTCGGTATCCATGTCAGCTGCTGATTTGAGTGAACGACGGGATGCACGAGGAGAGGAAGATGAAGAAGAAATAGGATCGTAGTCGGCAGGAGCAACGTTCTCCTTGCCTCGGTCTTCATTGGCCTTTGTGGCGGACTCATCATCAGAAGAGAGGTCCAAGGTCAGGGTGGAATGTTCCATAAGATTCTCGGCCTCTTCTTCGGCAGTGTCTTCGTGAATGGCAAAGAACCATGAACTGGGCATTGACTCTTCAATAGAGGTTGCAGCCTTCGGCAAAGGTGCAGCGGCAGGGACAGGAGCCTTCAGTGAGGCGGTGAGGGCGGCATCAATGCTGAAAGGCAGTCCGGTACGGGCAGCTGAGCGAGAGAGTGTGGAGGCGTCGATGCGAGTGGGAGTGTGGGCACTGAGTCTGCGACGGTCGCGTTTTGATTTGGGAGATCGTCCGGCAGGAGCAGTGAGTGGTGTTCTCGTCGAAGGCTTGGTCACGCCAGAGTATTTCATCGGAGTGGATAGACGGGAAGGAACGATGGCTGGAGGAGGCATGGAAGTCGCAGGTGTCGTCTTGGTAGGGTTGAATGTGAAGTTGAACGAGGATGGCAATGTGCTTAGGCCTTTGGGCTTGAGCGTTGTTGAAGACAGGTCCATCTTGGTACGCTTCACAGGCGACAGGAACATGTTGGGATTCACATTTTCGGCGTCGTCGTTCTGCCCGTCGAAGTCGTCAAAGGAAGGAGTGATGCGGCGTTTTGCAGAAGGCTTCAGGCTGGGTGACGATGTCGGAACAACCATCTTTGCCTTGCCAGACAACGGACTAGGAGTCTTGACTATGCCNNTGCATCGATGCCAATGTCAGCCATCGATGTATCAAACGCACCATCTGCCATGCTGAAGCCTGTACTCACCGTTCTGACGGTTCTTGATACCCGACAGATGAGCCAGACGAGGACTGTCGAGCACACCAAAAGGCTGTCTGGGCATCGAGAGAGTCGCCATGATCGCTTGCGAGGTGTATTATGCCGATCAGACGGTCGTGCCTCTGTGTTTACAATCTGTTTACTTGGCAGTCACAGATTTCTTCTCAATGGCGATGATAATAATGCAGATATGAAGATATTGTCCGCCGACACGTAGGAAGAGTGTAAGCGTATTGGGCGAGAGAGCGAACGGAGAGGATGGTGTCAGCGGTAGACAAGGGGGACCTGGATGTCCTGTAACCGTCTCAGGTCGCGTTCGCTCCTCCCTCGCGTGTCGTTCGTGTCTGGTCGAAGCGCCAATCCAAGTACTACTCCTGCCGAAATTGGAAAGCCCCTCATCTTCGGCATTGGCAGGAACGTCCGTCCGCGCATCTGATTGGGCGTTGGCTGCTCCGTGCATAAGTTGCGGTAAGCTTCCTGCATAACGCGACTCTCTCTGTGCCACCCACCGTTTCCGCAGTTGCGTTTGTCCTACCAACACCAACCCCCAACTGGCAAGGTCAGAGATTGAGACAGATTATCCAACGAAAGAATGATGCCATGATACCGGAATGGATGTGGTATCCCGCTGCAATGCTGAAGAGAATGCGATTGCTCTGTTCCATTGCAGCCCAAGAATGCCACTCCTGCCACTCTTTATGAGCTTCCATCAGATACCTTGATGGATCAGAGGCGTCCGATGATCCAACGGTTTGCGGCTCCCACATGACTTGATTGTTCCTGCCACGATTCGAATATCGTTCAGATCGGATCATAGCGTTGATCTGCCTCGACTAGGCTTCGTCGTTTCTGGGAAAGAGTTGAAACATACCAACACCGCTGTTTGTTCGTGTCAGATACAGAGCTGCCATTGGGGTCATGACGGGAGAGCACCAGCAACCGTTCCTACGACAACTAGCTCAGCACACTTAGATTAGCTGGGCTTCAGGAACAGATACAGGTCCACCAGGCAACTCAGCAAGACATCCAGTGAGATAGGGTCGAGTCATCAGCTCTCAAGACGCAAACATACGGACAAGGAGATGTTCATTTCACGTAGATTGTAAAGATACTCAATGCTCAAGAACAGGGCATTCTCCTGCTGACAGCCATCATCTCGTTGGCTCTCTTCCGATGCATCACCCGTCTGAAGACGATTGTAGGTTCTGGATGCTACACACTTGACAGACTTCTGAGAAAAGTGGCTCGATCGTACGAAATGTGATGAATAATATGGGGCATCCATATAGCTCCGGCTTTGCACTTTGCTAACATCATTATCAGCGTATAGATGCCATGCAAAGCATGAAGCATCCTGGGAAAAAGTTGCACGCAAGCTTCCTCAGAGCTTGATCACGATGCACAGATACGGACGGGGCAATGCGATCTGATTCAAGTCATTGCGCCAGACTATGCATCTCGCCGAAGGGACAACAAGAATGTCAATATCTAGTTGTGAGGAACCCGTTTCTTATCCCCCATATTCTGGTTCTGCTCTTCTGGTTTCAGGCTGGCTTTGATTCCTCGTCCATTACTGTCCCATTCTGTGCTCTGGTGATTGATTTCTTGAGACGAAGAAGCAATGTATCCGGGATGTGTGCATGATGTGACATGACATAAAGTCAGCAAATTCGGTTACGCGCAGATCTCTAGATGCTCCTGCGAAGACACGTTAGCATCATTGCTTTCGTATGCCATGAAGACCCAGCACTTACATGCGACGAACGAGGCCCAATCTTCAAATCTCCACAGTGTACGAGCCCAGAGTGGTCTTTTCAGTCTTGAGCTTCTCCATCTCGAACTCCATGAGGAGCTTCGACTTCTCCATCTCCTTTCTTTGGTACTCCAGCGCGTCTTCCTTCAGAGTCTCGAACACAATGTCGAGACATTCGCGAATAGATGCGAGAGCGGCGTGGATCTTCTCGTCAGGATGGTCGCGGTAGTTCTTGCGTGCCATGGCCCAGAGAGTCTCGCAGGTACGACGAGTTTCATCGGCGTCGTCCCAGTCCTCAGTCGCGAGCGCCAACATGATAAGGGTTCTCATGCGAGTGAAGTAGGGTAGGTTGCCTTGTCTAAAGAGTTCTTCTGTAGCTTCAATACATTCGTCCAGCTGGTCGTTGTCGTAGAGTGTCTCCGCTGCATTGTATTCGGCGCGAAAGTCTCTGGTGGGTGTAGATTTCTTGGGATGTCTGGGGCTGTCATGTTGATTGTAGAGTAAGATGTGAAAGACTCCACGGTGATTGCTAATAGTTGATGTTGATATTTTTCCAGAAGTGTTTCAGTCTTGCTTCACTTCAAACATTCTTCAAAGCTCAAGAGCCCTTAGACTTGACAATCTGCAGGCATAGTCTCGATGACCAACCGCCCTATACTCTCGACTTCCGCGCTCTAAGTTATTCACCCTTGTGCGTTGCTTCTGTAATTCCTGATGCTCGACGTCGGTTGACAAACAAAGCCGTCTGACAATCTTTAAGCTTCGTCTATCGCGCTGCACATTGTCCGCCCTCGTGCTTTGTTTCCGTAGTATAGATGCTCAACACTGATTCAACGGCGATGCCATGCAAGAGCTGCAGTACTATAGCCCGGATATGGTCACAAACCGCAGGCGCCGTCAGAAAATAAAACAGTCTCTATGCTTCGTTTCTCGTGCTATGCAATAATGATCCTCGTGCTTTGCTTCCACGGTTCTGAGATCAGGCCTCGTTCGAGTGGCGAGAGCTGTTCACGAGTCACGGTACTGTGACCCGGATGCTCGTACATGGATGTGCACAGTACTCATCAGTAGGAACGACAGAACACCCCATCGTCCGGATCCTTGTTGGCTCTGATCTCTCTCTGTCTCTCTCTCGCCGTCCCAATAGAAGGTTAGAGTTGATGTGACAGAGTCAGAACGAGCTGGTTTTATTCTTCATCGTCTTCTCCTAAAGCGAAGATCGTTGTTGCTTCTTTGAGTTTCTTCGCGGACAAGTTTGTAGTCCACATGTAACTATAAACGATGCACAACATTCTCAACAAAGGGACTGTCATCCACAGCGATGAATGCAAAAAGGTTTTAGAATTGTAGCAACGAGATTTGCATCTCAAGTGCTTTTCTTTGATTGGTTTTTAAACAGCAAGCCCAATAAAAAGCCCTTGCAGGAGGGTATATAAACCGTACATCCTCATCCGTACAGACGAAGGGTATCATTAAGAACAGAAAAAGAAGAAAACAAACATCAAAACAAGATGTACAAGATATACGAGAGGTCTCTTGTCATTCATCCCAGTACTGTGAAGCCTCAGATGATCCCAGAAAGCATTATGATCATCTCAGCCCCATTCCTAGCATGTGAGATGCTTAGAGGACGAGGACGGCCATACCGAGAGCGGCGGCGGCGGCACCAGCGACGTTCATGGAGGAGGCAGCACCAGTGAACTTGGCGGGCGAGGTGGTAGAGGCGCCAGTGCTATGGGCAGCACCGGTACCGATGGCCGAGGTGACAGTGGCGATGGTACCGTTGTTGTAGGGAGCGGTGACAACAGGAGCAGTGGTGACGGGGGCAACAGGGACGGCCGATGTAGAGACTGCCTTGGTCACAGTACACGAACAATCCTCAATAGTCTGGTGGGTTGTGTCAGTATTTTGTATCACAAAGGTATGGTCAAATCTTGGGGGAAAGTTTCAAATCGACTCAGGCTTCGGGAGACTTACAAGAGTGGTGGCAGCGGTCACGGTGATGGTGTGGGAACCAGCAGTGACAACAGTGGNCCTAGAAGAATTAGCTACTTGACGCATGCTCTACAAAAACGGGGAACGAACAGCTGGGCAGAAAGTGGTCAAACTAAACAACAGTCAGTGGTTTTGTACTTTTTGAGAGTATATAATGTTGAGGCTTCGAGAGACTTACTGGGTGACAACCTCAGTGACGTAAACCTCAGAAGCAGGAGCGGTGGTGTTGAGAGCCATGGCAGAGGCCGAGGCGGCGAAGGCAGCAATGGCGGCGATGGTGAACTGCATTTTGATGGTGTTGGGGTGGTGGTGGTTTGGGAAAAGGTGAAAGATTATATTATTGGGTTGGTTGCTGAAGCGAGTGTGAGACCGAAGTCGAAGTTGGATTGATTGATTAGTGAGTGGATGAAGAGAGGAAACCATTCATCAGGGCATAAGTCCAGTCCTTATATACCAAGTTGCCATGGTCAAGTGTTTGTTCGCATTGACCCTTGGCGTAAGCCTCGCCCTCAGCCGGCTCGTCCGCTAATCGCTAGTGCCCACGCCCGGATCCCAGCGAAATGTGTAGAAGAAGCCCTGGGATTGGAGAGTCAGAGTCTGTCTCACCTTTAGGTTCTCGAATTTGCCCTGCCGTTGCTGTCATTGACCCTTCTTCGAGCAGTTCCGGGAACGACTTTCTCAACTGAAGTAACGTCCGGCAATATCACTGTCGCAATTGCAGTATTCTGCTGCAGCGTCATGCCTTCACGGCAACGAGCAGAAGACCAGGATCAAGCAAATCCAGAAACAGGTGTGGGACTCAGGGCCAGGCTTCCCCGTATTGAGACCCGGAGTGGCGACAGCCATGTGCCAACGCAATTTCCCATATCCCCCAATGCGGGACACTGACAGTCGTATCCTTCCAGCCAGTGGCTGAGTCTTTTGGCAAATGGTGAGAAACGTGTTTAGCGCAATCGCTAAATGGACTATTGACTCTAAAAATTGTCACTGTTCATTCCAGCCCCGGCTTGCCTGGCTGACATGTCCGCTTACGCTCTGTACTTTCGGACAATTTTGGTGATTTCTGGTGGTTAAACTTCGCCGTTGAGCGCCACCCTTCTTCGCTTTCAATGTCTCAGCGTGGGAACCTGCAAGGGCAACATGGGTTCCTGCATAAGGCCGAAGTATGGCGAGATGGCAACATCGCGAATTGCTATTCGAGCACAGAATCTTCAAAGTCGTATCTCAGCTGACCTGATAGCTGAAGCAGTAAAATAGCATGTGGTGATGTGTGACTAGACAGATGTCCGTCGACGCAGGGCGAAGCATGCCCAACAGGCTGAAGGTTGAAAAGTTCGCCTCGTGTGAGCCATGCAGATAAGCGTCAGTCAAATGGCGCAAGTGAAGCAGGTGCAGTCTGTTCGGAGCAATTGGTTTCCCCGCGACTCTCTCCAAGAAAACTGTGAGTCTTCGAAAGCCCTTTCCGGTTTCGCGCCTGTTCCAACTTCCTCGTCGACGTCGTCAGCCAGCCGGTTTTAGGGCCTGAGGCAACAATTATTGAACGTTTGAGACCACGACTCGAGAAACTCTTGCGGTGTGTCCGAGGCTTGTTGGGTTTCTCATCGCCGGTGAGAAGGACGAACTGTACTATTCCCAGCACATCTTGTCTCAGTCTCCAAATTTCGTCAACTTCTCGCAATTGTGCTGCTCTGAGCCGACAGAAGAATCGCAAGGGACGAACCCATGAGTGTGCTGCTGTTCGAACCGAGCTCTGCACATCCCCCGCATCCGAAAGATTAATCTTGATAGATGGCTTTCGATTGGAGGTCTATGCGCTCGTGGAGTTGATTGGAACTTGGAGGACCTTGACTTTTGGAGAGCACACGATCATGGTCAGCCCTTGGGTCAGCTGGGTATTTCAAGACTCGAGTTGATCTTATCGCCGCCAATCGTTGAGGTCGCCTTATCAAAGCAGATATAGCCCTATGGACGGCACGGTCATAATGACAAGTTACCGAGGATATGACTCCCTGATTTGACCTTTGAGTGCCCCTTTGCAAGTGCTTCATCTCGGCTGCGACTTGCAGAGTGCTGTCGTCGCAATCCGACCCGCCTATTCGTGAAATTTCGCTCAATTCATTTCCCTATACCCATTTACTGCACTTTATTCGTCGCTAGCAATGGTGCCAAAACAAATGTTCCTTCTGTAGGCAAAGTGACCTCCTGACCGCTTTCCGTCGCGAAATGCGAAGGGGGAACTTCTGATGACTTTAGGGACGACGATGAATTCCTCGAAGCGACCTTTGGCAACAATTTCCAACAATAAGACATGGTAACATCAGCTCGATCTCGATGCTCGTAATCATGTCGATACTGCTTCAGCCCGCCCTTTTACGACAAGAGAAGGGCAAGAGGCAGCGAAAATCCAAAATCTATTGTGCCTAACCATCAAAACACGCCCTCATGTTCAAAAACTTCCCATTTCAACCAGGATCTCCTTTTTGTTTCTTATGCGCGCTAATATTGGTTGTCATGAGGTTGTCATGAGGTTGTCATGAGTCGAAGAACCTTCTTCTGCCATGCACTTTCGATGCCCATGATCCGACCGATCCTCCACGCGCACACATGTCGATCATCGAGGCGTCAAACACACACCGCGACACAATGACAACTCGAGTCAAATCGCCCGCCCATCACAAATGTCGATACAGGTTTCGGATCGAGCTTTATGGGATCGCAAACCTCGTACCACGATCATTGCGATGCTGCAACTGTGACACCGCCAAAACCACGGAGAAATTCTCCTTGCCAGCACATCGCGCAAAAAACCGATTTCAGCGATTTTCACAGCCACACCTTGCGACTACCGCATGGGGATGTAAAAGGAAGATCTCTGCCTACTTTCCCATGACCCTCGATTTCGAAATCAGATGCCTGTTTCCACAACTTAAGGTTGTTCGATGTCGCTAAAAGTTTGCGATCTTGGGACAGTACTCTCCTATCCGTCGCATGATAGGGTCAATGTTTTCGTATTGCGGCTCTCTCGGGACAAAGGCATGCATGTAGGTGTGTGCGCTCGTTCATGCACGGCAGGGAGAAGGTAAACAATGACGCGAACATGAATAGGAGAAAAAAGTGAACAAGCAGGAGGCCTTGTTCGTTCATGTTGATGAAACGGAAAAAGACGGTGATGAGAGGAATAGATCAATCATGTCAATACTCTAGGCACCGTGTGATGGGCTTGAATGCCATGCAATCGGGAAACACAGGAATGTCTGTTTGAAACATCACAAGGTGCGAAAAGGGATACAAGTCACGCACGATTGAAATGACGAACAGCCGGTCATGAGAGTAAAGTAGAATTTGATACATTAACAAGAAAGCAAACTGTTTGGGGGTATATACTGTCGTGAACCAAAAGCCTCAAGCGCCTGCTGTACAATAAAATTGAGTGTCCATCATGAGTGTTCGTGTTCACATCGTTGCGTAGTGTATGTGCGAGCATAGCCAGAACGTCTTATAGACAAAGGAAAAGGTCCGAGGGATTCTGGTATGGCATCCTACACACAAAGGTGTGATGCAATCATGTCTGCATCTCCGGCGCACGAGCTGTGTCGTCGTCGCTTCTGCTCTTTGAGCTCATGCTCGACATCCATCAATCGTGTCGCAACCCATGATCTCATCCTGGGATCGGTCTTGACAGCGTCGCAATTCAAGAGGTCGGTAAGGGTAGTCTTGATTCGAGATGAAATGTCGGCAAGCTTTGCCTCGTCAACGCTTAACGGTGCTGGTGCTGAAGGCTCCTCTGGAATAGATGTGATGCTTGTCCTGTTGGGCGAGGTAGGTGGTGACAGGGAACCTCGACGAGAGCCCATTGAAGATGATCGTGAATGTCTTCTTAAGCCAGCCGAAGGAGAAGACTTTGATGAGAATGAGAATGAGAATTCGGGCGAAGGTGCGCTGAACGAAGACATGGGAGATGTGTTTGCTGAGGACGAAGTGCTCGAGCTGGGGCTGCCTGACGAACTTGAGCAGTCCGAGTCGACTGATAGACGTCGACGAACATTGGTCTGCTGAGAGTGCAGGATCATGTATGCTTGAATGAGCTGAGACTGAGGTTTATTTGTTAGTTGAGAGGTCTTATAGCGAGCAGGACTAGGTATAACACACCTTTTCTGGGCTTGTTGAAGTCATTTTGATGTGATTGTTGATCCGCGATGAGTTGCTGGTTGAAAGAAGACCGGCTTCAGTCAAGGTGATATTTGATACTGCTTTGCCAGTGGGTTGGTAGGGTGATGAAAGGAATGCAGGTGTCCAAGTGAGCACGAAGGATTGCTAAGGATGACAGGCGGTAGAAACGTCCGAGATAAGAGGTCGATATGAGATAGAGGAAAGTTGGAAGACAAGGCTGTCAGGGTACACCAGTGGATATATGTACAGTGGGTGGCTGTCTGAAAAAGCTACTATTGCATAATGTTTACAAAGGAAATTAGCGTTGGACATCATGCAGCTGTATCCACACCTTCTTGACGGGAAACGCATGTCGAGCATCTCACAGAAAGCCGATGGATCGTGGAATGCAGGGGTTTCAGTCGTGGGACGCGTAGACGAAAGCAGGTGACGCCCTGCTGATCGACCGCCAAGATGCTTCTCAAAAGTTGATTTCTGTGTAAAGTCTGACGAAAGGTGGGTCGACAAGAAGTCGAAGAAGGTTAAAACCGTCGCGATATCTAGCACGTCCAATAGGCATCCAAGGACACGACCCGATGAGTGCAAAGTTGTTCGGAGAGATGTTCCTCCCGATCGCGCGATGTCCATACAACCTCCTGATCTGTGGCTCAGTATTGAGGCTCTGAGTGGACGGCCAAGTGTGAAACCATGTTTTGGCTGCTCGGATTTGCGGGGCTCAACAGCCACACTTGTTGGCAGAACTTGGCCGCCACGTTTGCGCTGTGGCACTTTCGTGTCTATCTTTACTTACAGCAGTACGTAGTTGGGTGTGAGATGTTGTGCACGCGCTTCATTTCACTCTTCATTTCAATTGTCGTTTCCTCACGTCCTTGAGTTGATGACCTTGGGTGGCAGGTAACAGGTACCTATGTTTCGTGATGCCAGTGACATCACAGTGTGTCGACGTTTTCCTCGTTTCTCGTTCTGACGAGATTCTCGTTTATGGAGAAGATGCGGCTCAAGATCCCGCGGCAGCACAACTTCTCTTTCCGCCTCAAGCGAACAGATACATGAACCAGTTGGAGCGAAGCGCGTAAACGAAGCCCGGAGCAATAAACAATTGTGGATAGAAGGAAAGCTCTCCGCTGCCCTGCCATTGACACCAATGCTTGCGAGTACTTATGGCTCCAGCATCGATTCCTTGCCGACTCCCGATCACACTACTTCTGCGGTTCAGCCACACTCCACGGTCTCCACCTCCTGCATAAAACGTTGCACTTATTCCCAGCACATCTTCTCTGGAAGCTTGGAGAGTTTGATTGCTCCCACTTTTATGAAAGACCGATGGTCTGAAGCACGACGTCTAACGAGATAGAAACCCCTTGGCATCGTTCATGCATGATTAAGGACGGCGATGAAGCCATCGCCAGCACCACTGACAGCATATCGAACAGTCATGGTTGTTGAAGGGCAAGCCTACCACAGCTTACAACTCTATCCTCCTGGATGGACATTTCTCGGCAGTCCTCACCTCACCTCATGCACATCATTGCGATACCGCTAGCTAACGACTACGAGCTACTGGAATCCTTGGAGGTGCAGAGCAGACTTCACACTTCCTTTGGTGCTGAGTGTGTTGCTTCGAGCCTCTGTATCCTACTCGTCGCCCGAAGACTTGCGGTATGCGCCCCGTCTTCCCCGGAGATAATTGATTCTTCGTACCTGATACTAGTCTGGATATGTGTGCGGCCAAGAAGCCCTCGACCGGGTGGCTGAAGCAGGACAAACCACATGTCCTTGCCCCACACAGTATCATGCCACCTCCACCATGATCCACGGGACCGGTAGGATTCGCATCAGATCATGTGTTATCGTGTGTCTGAGAAGCAGCCCTCATCTCTATCCAGTCTTCGATTCGAATCGCTGGGGCTGTGGCTAACATCCACCGTTAATCGACTTTAACAAAGAGAAATCGACAAGATGCTTGCGGATGAGATTTCGAGACACTGACTGTGCCTTTGACCCCACGTAGACGACGTGTCAGCCTGTGGACTTCTTACAAAAGATAGGGAAAAAGCACATGGGTATATCAACATCTCCACACTTGCTAGCCAAACTCAATTATGCATAACTCGCACCAACAGCTCACTCGAGTCAACCTTAGAGCAAAAACACACCCTCGATCGAGTACGGACTGCACCATACGCACGAAACGACACAAATGCAACGGCCTGCAGTCGATTTAGCAGCTGTCTAAAGAAGCTGGAATCAGCCCACTACTGATCGTCTACCGATACGAGTCGCGGATGAGCGAGCCTCTTCTACAGATAAGCGCTCTCGATCACGCAATTCTGAGAGTTCGTGAATACTTCTGACTTGATCTGTAGCTTTTCTCAAACCACAAAATGCCTCATTCGGGCACTGAGGAAGGAACTTCTGTCGATTGACTCTGCTGGATGTACGGCCTGACTCAAGGCATCGACTTTCGATGGAAATACCTGAGCACATGACCTGTCAGCAGGATGCCACAACCTACTTACGATACTGTACAACCGTTTCTTTTGGCGCCATGTACCTGAGCCGTTGAGCAGTCTTTACCCCGCTCACCTTGATGGACACAATCATACGCTTTCAGCTCGTTGTGGACAGTCACAGTCAGATGTGCCAGCTCGTAGCACTCTGTCCTACCACATATGTGCCATCTCGAGATTGCCTGCCTCTTTGAGCAATCTGGTCTCAGCTTTTCAGACTGATTCCAAGCCATTGATATGAACCATTCAACCACCAATATAGGATATCTCTGCTTATTGGTTCTATCGGTTTCCATCTGTACAGGTCGTGATATGGTTTCCTAAAGTAGATATTTCAAGATACGATAAGCTGATGATGTCGATCGTGCCAAGACATCTGGTTGACCATCCCACCCTGTCTTCTACTTCGAAACTCGCATCGTGCGACGAGAAGATCGGGAATATGAACAGTGGTAGATGGAGGTATACTCTGAGAGTAGTAGCTCGGTAGAGACATAGTTCCATCATGGTTCTGTCCATTCTTTGTCGCCTTTTGAGAATTGTTCGATTCAACGATCTCAATGCAATTAAGATGTGATTTTCTAACAGCCTTTGTTTGAGTAGAAGAACCTGAAGTATTGAAAACACTCAAATTCGAGGGACAAAGGACGAGCCCAGTGAGCACCTCCTGTCGCCTCTGTAACTATACAACATGCCTTCATATTCATGTAGATGATACTTGTAAGAAGTGAAGTCAAAGATGCCTGATTATGTAAGCAGGAGACAAGCTTTTCTGGTCGGCGTTGAGGTCATCAGTCTAGAAAAGAATGACTGTTGAAGGAAAAAATTGAAGACAGTGCAATTAACACATATACCACCTTGCTGGAGTTACATGATACGTACATACCAACCCACTCAACTGCCTGGACTTTTATTTGCCATCTCATCGCTTTCACCAAAACTCAATTCTGGAGCGGCGACAACTTCCTATAGGACCTTTGGACTACTGCGAAATATTCACTTGTCATTTGCAAGGCAGAGATCTGATATAATGGGGTCCAACCGAATCACCGCGATCGCGCGGGAACAGATTGAGCAGCAAAAGGCTCAGCAGACTCAGACGCGGATTCTACCCATAGATGCCACAAAGTTGGGTCACTTCTCGGATAAACCTATGGATACGGGAATGCCTCTGGAAGACTGGGACCTGAAACTAGACACTTCGATGCAAGACGGAAAGGACCTTGAACTAGCAGCTTCAAATCTCAAGCACTCGGATGTGCCAGTTGCGTTTCCGACAGAGACGGTGTATGGACTTGGCGCCGATGCAACTCGCAGTGCAGCAGTTGAGGGAATCTATCGTGCTAAACAGAGACCTTCCGACAATCCTCTGATTGTGCATATTGCTTCGTTGAAGCAGTTGAGACGATTGCTGTCTAGTTCTGAGTCAACGCCTGAAGTCGACCCTATTCCACAGATATACCACCCATTAATCAAACGCTTCTGGCCAGGCCCCATCACAATCATCCTACCAGTACCAGAAGATTCAAAGCTGGCACCAGAAGTCACTGCAGGTTTGCGCACTTTTGGCGCAAGGATGCCACGGAACTTGCTCGCGCTGGCCTTGATAAAGACTGCAGATGTACCCGTGGCGGCACCTTCAGCAAATGCTTCGACAAAACCATCACCCACGGCAGCTGAACATGTGCGTTATGATCTGGACGGCCGTATTGAGATGATTGTGGACGGCGGTCCATGCGATGTCGGCGTCGAGAGCACAGTGGTAGACGGTCTAAATTCGCCTCCTGCTATACTCCGACCAGGTGGCATAGGAATCGATCTGATCAAAACAGTGCCAGGCTGGGAGAATACGGTGGTGGGTTATCATGACGTTTCTCTAAAAGGAGACGCCGCACCTAGGGCCCCGGGAATGAAATACCGACATTATGCTCCGAAAGCACCTGTCATGTTGGTGGAAGCCATCGGAGGAAAGCAACCCTCCGCCTCGGACCTCTCACGCCAGCTCGGTACGAATAGCAGCGTGGGATTAGTTCGAACAAAAACCTGGAAGAGAATGCCGGTAGGCGAGGTTNNGTCGAGTGCCGAGGACCAAGAACCAGGATCTATGGAGTTGACTCCGAGCAGCGCTGATATGCCCGCCTCCCCTCTGGAAGCCATGTTACGGGAAAGCGCTTATCACCAGAAGCAGCTGCACGCAGAAGAAGTTATTCTTAAAGAGGGTGATAAGCGCTTTATCGTATGGGATATGTGCATAGGACCAGACACCGCCAGTGTGGCACGCGGTCTGTTCTCGGCATTAAGGGAATTGGATCGCAAGGATGTGGATGCCATCATTGTGGAAGGCATCGACGACGAAGAAGGTGATATTGCGGCAGCAGTCATGAACCGGCTGCGCAAGGCTGCCGAGGTCAAGCTCGAACAGCTCTAGGAGGCAAAAGGCGGTGCTGGGTGCGAGGGGGATTTTCAAAATTGCATGTTTCGGAGTGGACTCCGAGATCGAGAATTTGAAGCAAGCGAGCGACGACATCCGGTTGCCGTCATGCACAGTAGTGACTATAAGAGCAACCAATGTGTTCATGCCGTGTAGAGTATTTTAAATCAAAAGAACGCTCGAGGCCTAACGCTCATCCTCCTGGTAACACTGTGTTTGCTGCCTCCCAACGTGTTGTTGTCCCCTGACTGTCGTAATTTAGAAAACACAATATGTGTCGACTTGACTTGATGTAAGAATGAACAGGTATCATGTTAGGCAATACTGCTGCCAGCTTGTAATACACGTTCTCATCGTGCACGTCCCAATGTTACACCATGCCACTGAGCGTTCCAGATGCAATTTTGATAAGATACATTCACAGAAACAAGCCCATGGATAGCTTCTGCATGATACCTAGGAGAATACCATGATTCAAGCCCCAGCCGAGCCGTCGCCTTGAGATGCGCTCCATGCCGGTAGCCTTTCCCTCCTGTTGAGCCCCGTTTCGAGCGGCGGCGTCAAGTCCACTCGCTTTCTGGGCGTCGACAAACACCATTGCGTGGGGACCAATGAAGCCCTGCTTCTCGTCACCAGCCGAGTACTAAGAACGGAGAACAACGGAGATCGTACCGAATTCTGTGTTTCTGCATGTTGATGCTGAGTCCGTCTAGCTTCAGCCCAGGTGCCTGTTGTGTGTGAGTCCGCTCTCTCTAGCAGGCAGAGAACAGGTGCGGATTACCAAAGCCGCCGAGTAGACAACGGGTATTGGCGAGAGGCGATTCGATGCCGTAGTGTCCTTGCGGAGCAGACTCCAGCTGTTCCTGCTAAAGGAAGGTGGCACGGCGAAGGACTTGTTCTTGAACAAGGATGATCATTCGGGGCCTGTGGTTGTTACATGGTCAAAGGCTAGCGTCCCTGACGTCCTCATAAAGGTAGCCATTGCCCTTTCCTCCCGAAGGTCTGGAATCTCTCGACGAAATCTTCCCCAGTCTGTCTTGCACACAGCCGCATCGAGTCCTCGCATTCGAGTCTTCGACATCGACATACGGATTGATGATAATGGTCAAACCCGTGTCTATCCTGGTCACAGGCTTTGGAGTAAGTGCAATCCTTCTGCGTCGGCGCATGTGTCGCAACTTCGCAGCATGTTAGCGTCCAGGCGCCGGCGACAAGTCTTATCAAAGGGTCAGGATGGCCGACTTCTCCGGACAAACCGCCCGGCAGCGTCAAGCTCAAGCTTCGAAGCGTCAATAATGGCGGCACTCACCACTGCTCGCATGTCGTTCATCGCTGATATTGATTCCATTCGCAGCCCTTTGACGATTCTGGAGCTGGCAACCTCTCATACTCAATCGTGACGACGTTGCCCAAATTCCTCCCCGCAACCCCTTCGAGCCAGATTCCGATACGCATCGTCGTGCATCCCTACGACATACCCGTGATATACAACGAGGTCCGGTCACTCGTGCCACGCCTTTACGATGCATACAGCCACGAAGTCGATATATGGCTTCACTTTGGCATGCGCCCTGGCCAAGGTTCGTACTCGATCGAGCTAGTCAGCCGCCGTGATGGCTACGACCAGGACGCCGACATCACAGGCCACGCGCTTCCTGGCAATGAAGGCGACTCGTTCTTTCGGGGATGCCCCGGGACCCTTGACAGTACGCTCGATACCCAAGACGTCTTCACCCGTTGGCGCTCCAAGCTGCTCGATGCGCCAGAGGTCTCGCCGGAACTCGGTGCGGTGCGTATTCGCAAAAGCAGCGATCCGGGACATTTCATNTGCGACTTTCTCTACTATTCCGTCCTTGCTGAACACTGGAGGAGAAAGAATGGCGTCGACGGTGGTCCGCGTCCGCCAGATCTGATGCCCGTCATGTTCCTAAACGTACCGACAGAGAATACCGTTGAGCAGTTGCGGAGAGCCAGGCATGTCACAATCTGCCTCATGCAAGCTCTAGCCGAGAGTTGGACATTGAAAAGAGGTGGATCGGAAAATGAGTCGAAACCATAACGATGGCGCGGCGCTTTGCCACCTACAGAGGGTCGAAGAGCCGTCGACGTAGCCAGAAAGATACCAATGGACCTGTCGGTTTGCGCAAGCATTGTATGCAGATCCAAGCATTCCTGCAGAGTAGTCTATGATGGGGCGCGGAATCGGCCACGAGAAGAGGTGGTGTATCATGCCATGGTTCCAATTGAAGGGTTGGGTGCCATGTATCTCCAAGACACACCGCTTGCCCGATATCGATCCAGGAGCCGTGGAGGTCGCGAGATGCTCGGACACTGTACCGAGAAGGAAGCAGCCTAATGCGTTGAGAGGACCGGTCGAATGTTCTCCCTACTCAGAGAAGATGATCATATCGATCGAAAGTCATGCTTCAGCCTATGGATTCTGAATGCGCCCAGACCTTCGTTTTCGTATACCATTTTTCCAAGTTTTATGATAGATGACCTAATAGAGAATGGTTAAGCAATTCGGCTGCATGCGATCACGATACTGTGTATTCCTCCAACTTGGAATGCTGTAGACTTGATGCTCGACACGATCAGAGGGTCGTGAGCAGACATTTTTACTTGCGCTACTGGCGGAATGTCGCGTAGGTTGGCAGGAAAGGACGGTGGAAAGAGGGACGTTTTGGAATCAAGCTGTGGTTACGAAAAAGGAATGACCTGACGCGGAGTCGGTCGAGCCTCCGACAAGCCAAGAAGCATCGAGACCTTTGGCACCACGCGAGTAATAGACAGGGATTCGCAATCGCTACATGTGGAAAAGACCCTCTCTCCTGACGCTGCACTCAGGCACAGGTATCCTTGTTTGGACCGTATTACTGATTCGGACGGTTTGCAGGCCTAAGCATGCACCAATGTGTGGCTTTGTGAGGATGGCCATGCTGACTGGTATCCAGTGGGAGTTCACACACCTNCGTCACACCATCAGCTCATATTCGCATTTCGAGTTGACCAATAGTACTCACTTCGCTGAACCCATGTTTGACATACAACGGCCTACCCATGCCCGAAGCCTCGAGATATGCCGGCATGCCCAGTTCATCCGCCCGCTGCAAGCCCCAGACCAGCCCAGCAGCTCCGGCACCCTTTCGCTGAGCTGCCGGCAGTGTCGCAAGCACTTTCAACAACGCATGTCTCTTGCCAGCCAATATCTCACGCTTACTTTTCGCCTGTGCCTCCCGAAAACCCGCAATCACGCCAAAGTTGATACCAGGAATGGGCTCCTGCTCCGCGCGTTCCTTCCTTGCTTTTTCCTCCTTGTCCGACACTTCTTGCATGCTCATGTCTTCGGTTTGAAAGTACCAGCAAGCGACGGCTAGGATCTCTTTGGTGCCGCTGTCGCGTACAAAGATGTAAGAGAAGGAAGGGTCGGATAAGCTGTCGCGGGTGTTGTTCCGCATGAATGCTTGTGTGCATTCTGTAAACCCTCCGGGATAGAGCAGCGATGACAAGTTATCCTCTACCAAAGCAAAGGCTTCCCAGTACACTTTGTTCCAGACACCAATCTCGTCCTCCTTCATGGGCGTAATCTCAAAAGCCATCCTAGCAGATGATATGGGAACCAAAATGATAGATGCTTGTACAAAGCCAGTCAAATGTAGTAGAACAAGTGGTATACAATCGAGGTAATCATCAAAGTGTCGAGTTCTGGCCTGCCGAGTATTATATGTACTCCCCAAACCCCGCATGCTTCCGGTGTCTCGATATGGCAGGTAACAGGACCATCATTCTACAATAAGCGATGAGACTCGAGAAAAGTATGCTTTACATGGTCATAATGATTGCAGAGTCCTGCTCCAGTACTACGTTCACTTTCACGTTCTTCGTTCGTGGTGGACTGTAATGCCTGTGAGGATGATAGCTCCTGCCTTTACAAGCCGACCCTAACCAGTCCGTGCGTGCCTTGTTGGTGCCATTGGCAACTTCTTCTCTGCATCCACTTTCACATTTCGATTCATCATCGCGATGAACGTTAAAGAGATGATGCTGTATCAGCGAAGCTCCTGATTTTGATTGTACAACCAAGAGCAGACGGGGTTGACACTGCCGTCTTGTCCACGGCTTGTGTGCGCCTTATCACTTGGCAATGAAGCCGACACGCGATATCACAACGCCTTCACATGATTGATATCCCGCAGAACACAGAGAGATGAGATTGTGAATCGGGCAGCGCCGTCGCTACAGAGAGCCAAGACTCAGAGACAGCGACTGCGATGCTCGTTGTTTACCATGAACAGCGATTGGCAGATACATCCTCCCTACGTACACAAGCCGGCGACAGCGAGGCTTGAGTTCACTTGGCATTCAACCGGCAGTTTTCGCACGCTTCTATCGAACCTTGAGGCCACACAAATTCCAAAATTCGTCTACCCACAAGCAACAATATCAGCGGTTCACTCGAGCTCTCAGTCCCTTCTCACAGACTTGCAGTCTCAAAAGGTGTTTCGAACATGTCTTTAGCACTTTCACACGTCCCGGAAAGATGGTTCCCTATCTTTGTCTCCATAAAACACCCTCGCTAAACATGCACACTCTTGTTCACGTTGATGCTCTGTCCATAAACTAATCCGATAAGGGTCTACGGAGTTGGCCGCTATGGCATCTGGTTGGTCCTAACGCAGTCTGGGCGAGATTCTAGAAGCTGATAACGGCAGATCTCTCTCGCGTTTCATAACGAGCTGCCAAATTCAGAGGTGCGACGGTGGGCTGGCGGGGTGCTCGAGGCCGCACGCGCAAAAATAAAATATCCACGACGCCCTGCCCAATTTTGACGTGTCGTGTGCTCAACTTCCACTCCTCTTCCGACCTCCACTCCCCCTTCGTCCTCTTCATTGACCCTTTCTCCCTCTGCCTTGTCGCAGTCGTTCTCCAGCCAATCATCTTTGCACCGGCCACTGACGAAGGAGAAAAACCATGACGGAATTCTACGACGAAGAGAAGACCGGAAGGCTGCACCCTGACGAGAAGGATGTCAACGTCGATGTTGGGAGTGCTCAAGGTTCCACTGAGCTCGTCGATGAAAAGCCAGCTCAGAATGGCGGTATCCTCGACACTCTATGTGGCTGGGAAGCGACCCTGGACCGTAAGCTCGGCATCGAGTCTCAGGCTATCCGACGCAAGCTGCCCGAGGAGAAGGTGCCTCAAAAGTGGCACAACCAGGCAGTCATGGCTCTGCTGTGGAGTGGTGGTATCATGAACTTGTCTTGCATGTCGACCGGGTTCCTTGGTCCCACCTGGGGTCTTACACTTGGCCAGAGCATCGTCATCACCATCTTCGGCACCCTTCTGGGATCCAGTGTTGCTGGTTGGTGTGCCACTCTTGGTCCTGGCACCGGTCTTCGTTCCATGTCCATCACTCGTTACAGCTTCGGCTGGTACCCCACCAAGCTCATTGCTGTCCTCAACATCATCTCTCAAGCCGGTTGGAGTGCTGTTGGCTGCATTACTGGTGGTATGTACATCGATTGGTTGTACAAAGATAGATGCTGATCGTGTNNAGGTCTTGCTCTTACTGCTGTATCCGACGGCAAGGTCTCGTCTGCTCTTGGTTGCGTGATCATTGCTCTTTGCAGCAGTGTCATCAACTTCTGCGGTCTCAAGGCCATTCTGTACTATGAGAAGTATGCCTGGCTCGTCTTCTTCATTGTCTTCATGATCATGTACGGCATGGCCGCTCCTCATGCTGTCAACACTCCTGGTACCGAACTCCATGGCGCCAACCTCGCTGGAAACGTTCTTTCTCTGCTTTCGGTTGTCTACGGCAGCTCCTGCTCTTGGGCCACCATTGCCGCTGATTACTACGTTCACTACCCCATCAACACCTCCAAGGTCAAGGTCTTCACTCTCTGTACCCTTGGTATCAGTATTCCTACCTGCATTGGTATGGTTCTGGGATGCTGTATTGGTTCGGCCATGCAAGTCAACGAGCAATGGAGCAACACATACAGCGATGACGGCCTTGGCTATCTCATCCAGATAATGCTCTTCCCTCGTGGATTCGCCAAGTTCATTCTGGTCCTGCTTGTGCTCAGTGCCGTTGGTATGAACGCTCTCAACCTCTACTCTTGTGCCTTGTCGATCCAACAGTTCGCCCGCCCCTTGGCTAGAGTCCCTCGCACCTTCTGGGTTCTCGTTGTCTTCGGTGCTGTCACTGCCATTGCCGTCGCTGGACGCGATCACTTGCTCGAGTATCTGGAGAACTTCCTTTCTCTTCTCGGTTACTGGGGTACCTCCTACTTCGTTATTGTCTTCCTTGAGCACTACTGGTTCCGCAAGGGCGACTTTGCCAACTACGATCTCGACGGCTGGAACACCCCTTCAAAACTGCCTATCGGTCTCGCTGGTCTTGGTGCTTTCCTGATCGGTGTTGTTGGCTGGTGCCTCGGTATGGTTGAGACTTGGTTCACAGGCCCTCTCGCCAAACACATTGGCGAGAGTGGTGGTGATATTGCCAATGAGCTCACCTTCGCCTTCACCCTCCTTGCCTATATCCCTCTCCGTCATCTCGAGTACCGCTTCTTCAGGAGATAAGTGGCTCAATTCATGGTTGTCACAACACGAAAAACACGATTACAAGGGAACGCCGTCGGACGAATATCTGTATATACGCGATTTGCTTTTGTCTCTTTTACTGTTTGCTTTGGCGGGAAAACAGGGCATGATTTTGGACCCGAGTTCCTTGATACCCAACTCAATCACTCTTTCAATAACCAACGATGAAGATGAAATCGTGATATACGTGTCCATCATGCAATTGTCTCCTTTGGATTTCGTTGGTTCTCCGTAACTACGTTATCCGTGTTAGACTGCGTGTGGTGCGTGTGTCATGCGTTCAGTTGGTTTTGATGTGATTTGGGGGTATCTCTGCACTCAGTTCAAAGTTTGGTTGCTCTTTCCTCGTCAACAACAATCTTGAAGACGAGTTCGCTCTCTTTCGACAACCACGACTGGACTGGCAGATTTTACCCGGGCAGCGATGACGTCGCAGCCGAGAAGCGCCGAAAATCTCCCTGCAAAATCTTCACTTCTGGCAACCACGATATCCGACGAATCCGCGGTCCTTCCTATCCTTTCAACATCGACAATTCGACCTCGACACTATCTAGGGCGTCGCTCAGCATAACGGACTGGCTGCGGTTGCGACGCGACGCTCTCTCTTTGGACAGGTTAGTACCTTATTCCCACCACACACACGCACACACCTCCCCACTCATTGCGAAGGATTAAAACATTTTTAACCCAGAGTCTTTTCGATGAAGATCAAAAACGCAACACTCTAATTTTTTCATGACGCACAATCATCACTCTCCTCGGCTCAACCAACATGTTTTGAACACAAGCTGACCTGAGCAATCAGATACGAATGTCTAGACCTCAAGTCTCCTGAAGGTGACGTGTCCTCTATCCACTTGTGGTGGATACCATGACATGCGTCTGTTGATTGCGGTTCTCTGGACTGGTGTAACATATGCGGTGCTTCGCCATGACTACGTCAAGTTGTGGTTGGAGATCACACCCATGCACGCCCTACAATCACGTCCGACAAGACGCAAGCGAAAGCTCTATGTAGCTCACTGGCTCCCGGGGTACCATCACGACAGCGACTTTGCTCTCGTTCAACGTCCTCATCCCACAGCTTCCGCCAAGCCATATGTGTCAGCCAGCGCACGGCCTTGAATATCGGAAGCGAGAAAAATCGCACATCAAAAGAAGACCAATTCTTCTTCTTGCAGAAAGCATCAGACAATCTCCTTTCCTCACAATGAGTATCCAGCCATGGGAAATCTTGTATGAGATGCACTTGCCTCGGGCCTCAGTCTCAATACCACCGTAAGTCTGCTATCCTCACTGCACCTCTTCACCTCGCCCCCACATCTCAAATGATGAGACAACCAGCTGGCACCAGTCCTAGAAAGACTTGTACTCTTTTTGCTGCGGAATAGCTTTGCACGGGACTAGACTCCCTACTTCTGATTTTACCACCTTCTACCTTTTCATCACCCGACATCACGTTAGAGGTTGAACGCAGAGACTAACATTTGTCTCAGATTTTCCGAACTTCCTTCGAGCACCATGCGACGTGGACGACAGCAAACAACATCTCGGAGCTGAAATTGACTGCCAGAAGTGGGTACAGGTAGGTCGGCAAGCATTCGAACGAAACTTTCCCAATGATAATGCTGTGGATCCAACATCCTACAGTCGTGCTCAAGATGAATGTCACTTACATGTCAATGATCCCCCGGTTGACCACAAGTGTGCATAACAAAAGGTAGGTCCTGCTCTTCTATTTCACTCTTCGATACCGTATCTAGCCTGTAATGAAACAAAAACCGTTCGCCTAGAATCATATCTTTCCTCTCAATCTGTGTCTCCAAACGCGTGTCTGTCCTGGCTCGTCTAGACACCGTCACAAGAAAACTTGGTCAAGGAGTTGTTCCTCTGTACAAAGTGCTGGATCTATCACCATGTTAGCGTGTGTCGCCCCTGCACAAAGATCTTTTGGCCATCTCACCTGCAAACTTGTCTTCGACATGGGGCAAACATTCAAGCCTTGACCTTCTTCTGCTGCTTCGAAGGGGTGTCGAGCACAGGGTACTTGGAAGCAAACCATTCATCAATACGCTTGTCGCCATCATCTTCGTCGGGCTGGAAGTCTTCGTCAGAGTTGTCGAAAACTGGGTCGGTGGGCACGTCTGTGTAGTCGATGCCGCGACGGCGCTTGCGGGTTGATCCAAGGGTGGGAGGGCTCATGGCCATTTCCGTATCGAGCTCTGACTCGCTGTCGTTGACGACCTTCTTCTTGCCTTTGTGGCGAGGGGTCTTGACTTTGTTGGCCTTGACGAACTTTGCGATCTTGACGGGCTTGATGGACTTTTCGAATACTATGGCTTTCTTCTCGAGGCTCTGGGGAGTAGGGAGACCTTTCTTGTTTCTGGCAATAGGGCAAGTGGGGCGGACGCTGGTCGTACTTTCTTCGTGCTCGCTCTCGCCCAACTCGACGATGATGTTGGAGTCGTTATAGGCGGTTGTAGTCGCCACAACCTTGTCGACGTCAAGAGGAGTAATGAGGCCAGCACCCGGTGGAACCCTAAAAATGCGAGGTAAGGGACGAGTAGGGACAGGAGTCTTGGGCTTCTGGACTTCATCATCACTATCGTCGTCGATGATGATGGCCTTGGTCAAAGAAGTGCCATCTAAGATCTGCTTTGCAGCCAGAAGAGTAGAAGTAGAAACAGAGCCAGAAGCCAGATCGTCACCAACCCACTATTTTATTGTCAGCATGATGGAACAATGAAAGATCTATCACGCATCGCTAACCTTCTGCCAGATCTCCGCAATGCCGCGACCCAACTCTTCGCCATTAGTGGGAGCGGNCGCACAACCTCGACAGCTATAGATCGTCAGTATCTTTTGTGTAAAAAGAGAAGGAATCAAGTAACACCTACGCCACATGTCAAGAACATCCTTAGCGAAGGAGTGAGTAATGGTTATACCGTCAAGAACGGCAAGGAGAAAGGAGATGTCCTTAGCCGCATCGCGTGGTATAGGCATCGTAGCCATCGTAGCCGTCGACTGTTGTGGTATAGTAGGTGTAGTAGAAAGAAGAAGAGATCTTGGAGGTGTGTGAAAGTTGGCTATTAGGACTAGGTAATAAGAGTGAGCCTACCAACATGAAGGGTGTAGGAAAGTCTGCTTCGACCTTTTACTCACTTCAATTACATCCAACAAGTCTCCTATAAGCGCTAGACTCCTCACTCTCCATTGGGTAATAATTTGGGCGGTTGCGAGTTTCCATCGCTCTTCTACATCTGTATCTTACTTTTATCCATCGCCATCTCTAATTATGCCTACCAAGGCAGAGCTTGTCCAGAAGATCTATCTTCTCCTCGCTGTCATCCATACCAATGACTTTACCATGAGTCAAGAGATGGCCGTCAGGATTCTCGACCACTGGCGTATGTTAACCAACTGCCATCCACCCAAATCACACTAACATATCTAGATCCTGTCATGGGTGACCATCCTGAGAACGCCGAAGCAACCATCAAGAGCTACAATGCCATTCTGCAGCAGGTAAACCTTTGCACCACACCCTAGACCTACAAGATTTACTTTCTAACCTAATGACAGTTGATCTCTACTCAACCTGCCCGTACCGCTAGAGTCGAAAGACCCACCAAGGTAGCCAGCAAGTCCGAAGACATCGAGTCACCCTCAACCTCGCCCGCAACACCAAGAAACGCACAACCACTTCTCGCGTCCCCAAGCTTGAATCATCAACCATCGACAACACAACTACTAGACCTGCTCACACCGAGGATCTCGAGATCATCGACTTCGCCAGCGATATCAAACCTAGCCTCCCCATCTTTGGCTCCACTAGAAAGCGTCTCCGTTCTGTCGACTTTGCTGGCCACACGAAGGCCAAACAGGAGCACATCGACGATGACGACGTCGATGAGAACATGTCCGATGCTGCCGAGGAGGATGATCTGCCAGACAAAACTCCCTCGAAGAAGCGCAAGATGAAATGAAGATGGAAAGACTCTGTTTGACCTGATCTGCCATCTGATGGACAGTGCCTCTATCGAAGGTGGAAGTCAACGCTTTGTCGCGGGAAAAGTGAAGGGAAAAGCCAATGGTGCGGCAAGAAACTCGAGTAAAGTGAAAAGCGCGATAGGGTTGCAATGAGGAATAGGTGTGCTTTGCGTTTGTATTTTAAATTCATGTACTCGTATCCGTCTACCCTCTTGCGTCTCTATCAACCAAAAGACTCAGTCTGCCATTCTGGCCTCAATGCGAGTCCACTTTATCGAATCTCGAGATCGCCAAACTTTTTGGCAAACATGCCTAGCGCTTTGATGGGGAAGATGAACTTGTAGTTGGGGTAGGAGATCANTGCTGTTTTGTCACAGATTAGCCACTTTTGTCATTTCCTCACACAGCAAGAAGCGTTAAAAACTCACCAGCTCTTGTTAAAGACACCTTCAATGCCTTCTTGGAGCCACTCGCCATTGGGCTGTTGGCGCGACATGATGAGCTTGATGGCCTTCTCAATAGGCGCTTTGTCGGGGTATCCGGCTTCGATGAGGGCAATTACTACCCAAGCTGTTTGCACGACTTGAGACTGTCTGTGCTGGCAGTACTCGCCAGTCTCACAGCTGCGATATGTTTCTCCCCATCCGCCATCCTTCATCTGTTTGTCGATAAAGAACTTGCACCCTTTGCGCACCCGAGCAGAGTTTGTGTGGTTCTCTCCTGCTGTAGCCAGGGCTTCTAGTGCAAACATGCCTGCGTAGGTAAAGCAGATGGCCCAGCTGCCGTACCATGAGCCATCTGCGCGTTGTGCGTTTCGGATGTACTCGTAAGCGCCCTTCTTCAACACTGCGATTTCTCGGCTGCGGTAGCCTGGGTAGAGTTTGGCGAACAGGGTCAATGCTGTCACCACGGCGGTTGTGCATTCTGGGTAATCGTATTCGACCATGATGCGGCCAAAGACTTCTGCCGCATTGAGCCATTCTAGCAATTCGGAGCCGCGTTGGGGTTCGTAGGAAGAGCAGCCGCCGGACTTCTTGTTCTGCATGGTGAGGAGGACATCGATGGCTTCTTTGATGCGTTCATCCGAGATGAGCTGAGGGTAGCTGGGTAGGAATTGGAGCATAAGTACGGATTTGATGCCTTCGGACGTGCAGTCAGAGACAGTGTAGCCTTGTCCCTTTGTGCTGAAACCCCAAGCACCCTTTCGCTGTTGACGGTAAGTAATATGCTGATCGACACACTCCTCACGTATTTGAGCAATATCAAGATACTCCAAAGCCTTCTCGAGCATGGGCCTCCATTTGGGGTCTTCGGCCTTGTCGCATTCGATGACGGCCTGGATGAGGAAAGAAGTATCCCAGTTCTGGACACCGTTTGTGCCATTGACCAGCATACCTTCATCTTTGACCCATAGGAACTCTTCCAAACGCTCACGGTGTCGACGAACAGAATAGCTGTCAGGACCATCGACGATGTAACAACAGAGCATATTCATGGGCGCGTTGACGGGGGCAAGATCGGCATAATCGGAGTTTTCGTCTTCGCGCTTGACCAGAAACCACACCCAGTCCTCTGCGCGCTTGACCAGCGACTGTGTCCGTAGGAAAGGGATCCAGATGTTGACCAAGATCCAGTTGATGAGGTTCAAGACCCACGTCTTGGGGTGGTAGTTGTCGGCTCTTGAGATGGAGTTGCGGTGAGAAGCAAAGTCGATGGACTCGTAAGGGTCGACGAAGAGCTCCTGTCTCAGCTGTTTGACCAGCTTGTCTGCAGGGAAGGACCACTTGCGGGACCAAATGAAGGACATGGGCAAGAAGACCATACGCATGTGAATCCACCATCTCCAGGGAGCGATGGGAACCCAGTCAGGAACCAGCCACAACTCCGGAGGCACAGGATTGACAAGATCCCAGGGCGTGACACCCAGCACACTCAGCCAGAACTTTGCCCAGTGGGGACCATTGACGGCGCCTCCGAACTTATGCAACAGAGCACGAGCCTTGATCAAGCGCGGGTCTTCTGCATCAGCACCCAAGAGTCGCAAGGCGACGTAGTTCATGGCTGTGCCAAAGACAGAGCTATCTCCCTCAATGTGTAGACCCCATCCTCCATCTTCTGGATGCTGACGTGCGTAGAGATAATTCTTGAGTTCGATCTTGTAGGCTTCGGAGATAGGCGTCTTGGTGACATACCAGGTGATGACGAAACCGGGGAGCAGGAACATGGGACCGCCATACTCGCAGCCCCAATTGCCGGGAGGAAGTTGCAACTTGGAGAAGAATTCGAGACCGTTCTCGGCCGACTGGAGGGGAGTCTTTGGGTGAGGTAGGGTTGGTTGTTNCCTGTCCGCTGGTCAGTGCTCGGTCGGAAGGTAGATATACTTGACAAGAGTGCGCACAGTAGGCAGACCAAGGAAGTACTTGTCTGCTGTCGTTTGAGGCCACTCTTTTGCCTGTTCTTCGCTCAGGTAATGCCATGTCTGCTCTCCGCCAACATCTCGAAGCCTCCACCTCGTCGCGTCCGTCTTTTGGTCGCCTACTTGGTTTGCCACCATTTCGACGTATGGATACAACCTTTGACAGGTCCAGTCGGAAGAGAGCTCGCAATTGAGCTGACCTGGTTGTAATTTCTTCAAGAACACCCTCGTACGATTAACACGCGCCAAGACCTTCTTGCATGTGAAATTTGTGGGGTAGCTGCATTACCCCTGACAATCACCACCACCAACCCGGTCATCACATCTCACTAAAAGACAAGAACGACCAAGAAGCAAAGCATTCGTATCTTGTATAGTGGTATCAAAGTAAAATCCAACCCTTGGCCGTAACTCCGTTTACAAGACAAAAACACCCAAACAAGTCCCGTAACCACCGTTCCCTACTCAATCAAGTCGTCATCGTCATCCACCATGCTGTCCATCAGTGCCTGAACATCCTTGTCGTCGGCCATGCCACTAAAGTCATAGTCTTCCATCTCTTCGTCAACGTCCATCCGCGTACCCTCAGCGTCAGGATCTTCAATCCGTGTCGACTCGAGTTCTCGTCTCAATTGTGCATTGACCGGATCGTCTTCAGCTTCAACCTCTGTGGCCTCTTCCTCTTCTCGTGCATCGGCACCTGTCACAGACTGTGCCGTCTCATCCACGTCTGTTCTCTGAACGACGGTGGCGTCCTCGACCACCGTCTCCTCGCCGCCACCACCTCTTTCTGCTGTCGCGATGTCGTGCATGAGCTTGAGTAATGTTGTCTGCATCTTGGCAAGAGCGTTGCGACTGGTTGCATCGGATGCCACCTTGGACTCGATTGCTTCTGCGACCAGCTCGAGAACCGTGCGGAGCAGGCCAGGGTCTGGAGATGAGACGGTCAAATGGAGCTTGCTCAGCATGGAGAACAAGACCTTGCGTTCGTCCTCTGTAGTTTTAAAGTCAGTCATGTTTGACAGATATGGACAGAAGCACTTACTGCTTGTTTGACTTGTCACCAGCCTCTCGAGAATCTGCTCTGCGAGCACAAAGTGAATCATGTCGCTATCAGGAGCTGCTCCCTCTTCGACTCTGAGCTTGCCAGTCTTTGCTTCCTCGCTGCTGCCAATCACCTTTCGAGGATCAGTCCAGTCAACGAGCATGCCACCGACCACACTCAGCGTCACCATCTCGCCTTCTTCGACGTCCTCATCCTCGATAAAGGCTTCTCTGAGAGCAGCAAGACGGGCAATGACTCCTGTAGCGATGGTAGCCATTCTCTCTGCGTTTGCTGCTCTCGAATGGCAATACACAGGCAAGAAATATGTCAGTGCTTGTCTGAGAGATGCGTTGCCGCTTGTCTCGGGATCGAAAAATGCGATAACCAGACCCTTGAGTAGATCAGGATCTGTGATCAGTTGCGAAAGCATGAGCTTCGACAAAGCCGATGCGCCGGTCGACTGCACATCCACATCTTCGGACTTCAATGACTTGGAGTAGGTCTTGAGAACGGGTTTCAATAGTGGCGAGGGTTCGGTAGCAGAAACTGTAGCAGAGGTCTCATCACCATCTCCCGATGACGCCACAGGAGAAAGTAGCGATGGGTGTGTTGTGAGGATATCCGTGATGATCTGAAGTGCGATAGTTTGCAAAGATGCGTGGCCCTTGGCGAAACAATGCAAGAAGAGGGTGATGTTTTCTTGCGCAAGATTCTATGATGGGTCAGCGAGTTGCAAAGGACCTCCACTCTCACGACACATACCTTNTCCGAGTAAACAACAAAGTCCAAGACAGACCAGACCGCGCTCTCTTATGGGCGCTTCCTGGCTTCTGACGGCTGGAATGACGAGATTGTTGAGCATAGTCACTAAATGGACCGTTTGCTCGAGCTCGCATTGAATATTTTGGAGCATGCATTGTGCGATATGCAGACATTTCATGTTGACCATGATCTCGCGGATGGCCTTCTCCTCATCGTCGTCTTCCTCTTCTTCGTCATCGTTCTCTGAGCGTCTAAATTTCTTGCTCTTCTTGCCCGACTCGTCGCTGCTGACTTCGCTCCTAGCAGAATGGAAACTTTCTTCTCCTGTAGAGCTTTTCGTCTTGTCGCCTTCGTCACCCATGATAGTATCATGGACTTCAGCAATGGCTTCAAGAACGATACCGCAGAAATCGCTCTCGCCCTTGTCGCTTCTGTCATCTCCGCAAACTAGACGCAGAGTTTCAACTGCTAGTCTGGTTGACTCTTCTGGTAGCTCGGGCATGGTGAGAGCTTCGCGCATGAGGCCAAACATCTTCCTGCGACCAACTTCGTCGCTGTAGTCGAAGCTGATGGCCATGTGAAGCATTTGCTCGACAATGAATTCGCGTTGAACAATCTCTTCTTCCATCTCTTCGTCGCCATCTCCATCTGGTCCACCAGAAGCAGCTCCTCGCACGCACTCGATCAACTTGTTGATCTGAATCTCGAGCAGGAAACCAAACTTTGTGACTTCGGGCATCTTCATCTCGAGCATATCCAGCAATCTTCCGTCTCCTTGGGCGTCCTTAGCGCGGCAATAGTCGTTGAAGGTGCGAGCGACAAAGACACTTTCTGGTGAAAGCTCGTCCCAGAAGGCCTCAGAGTCGAAAGTGACATATTCTCTGTAGTCAGGACGACCGTCCCAGAACTCGCTCATTGCTTCGAGTGCTACACCTCCAGCATTTCCAGAGTTTGCGACGTCAATGCGCTCGAGCAGTTCGAGAAGAGCTTCAAGACTGGGATTGGCAGCTTTTGTGACTCCAGGTTTCTTCTTGCCGTCTTCCGTCTCTTCTTCTGGGGCAGTGGCTGCAGGCAGTGCAGCGCAGTCCTCGATCCAGCGCTCTCGGAACAGGCGAGCAGTGGCCTTGCGCACCGTCTCGTCACGATCGCGAAGACCCCATCGAAGCAGCTTCTCTCTGTGTGTCAGACTGAGATGTCTGAAGTCGCCCAATGCGGGTAGGAGACGAGCGTATAACGCGCGACGTGTTGCAGCGTCTAAATCTCTTGCGCGTTCGAGTAGGTATGGAAGGGTTGTAGGTGTGAGGGGAAGGTTGAGAAGAAGGGCACGGCGGACCTCGGCGGATGGGTCGTTTTGGAGGACGTTGAGAAGCTTTTCCAAGACACCCGAGCTAGCATCGTCATCGTCGCTGTCTTCGTCTTGTTGGTCTTCGTCGAGCTCAGCGGCAAGGCGGCTCAAGCCATATATGGCGTGCATGCGGACTGAAGACTCTTTGTCGTGGATACGCTTGAGCAGGGCCAGGCGGAGCAGGTGGAACATCTGATCATCGAGTGTATCGAGCGTGTTGATGATGTGAGCGCTAATCTGGGTAGCTCTGAATCGCACAATCTTGTCTTTGGTTGAAAGTAGCCGCAATAAAGTGTTTAGGATGGCGTTAGTCAGACGCGAAGTAGGTGTCTCTGGCAGGGCACCATCCTGATCAGCTACAAGCTGATTGTCTTTCTCACTGGCTACTCGTAAGAAGATGCCCAGAAACTTGACGATCCGGTCGCCGACAGTCTCGCTCTTCTTGATGGGCAGGACACGCAGGACACAACGCACGACCTCGGTGTTGAATTCATCCTCGTCAAAGTCGTACTCGGCCTGCTTCTTCTTTGAGCTCAGCGGCTCATAACAACAGGCCTCCTGGATCTTTCGCAAGTTGATAACCAGTTTCCGGTGGCCAGTGTTTGACTTTTGGGCATCTGCAAAGACGGCCGCGACATGGTTCCGCAGCTTGGTGATTGGGCCTTCGTCGGGAATGTTGCTGACTGGCGACGAGGCAGCCGCTCTAGCGGTTCGAGAAGTGCGTGGTTTCGAGGCAGCAGTGGTGCCTTTGGCGGAGGCGCCGGCGACTCTGGCAGGCATTGTTGTCGTTGATGGGCATTCGAGACTGAAGGAAACAAAAGCCGAATCGTAAACAAAGAAGCGCCCGACCCCGCCATTTCCACGCGAGCTCCATCTTATCTCGATCTCATCTTATCTTGATCATCTCCGATATGCGGAGCCGCGGTGGCTGACATATTACGTGACGATGGCAATTGTTCCTCCCTTCTTGCTTTCTGCCAACACACTATACCAACCATGTTCCGCACAGCAGTCCGTCGCTTCGCTGCCACGGCTCTGCGTCCGGCCGAGACGGTCGCCCAAATGGAGGCGCCGCAACTCCATGGCATCGAGATCTCAAAGGCACAACGCATTGCCCACGATGGCTTCATTGATGGTGCCTCAACTCTCACGCCTTGATCTTGTTTCGCGGTTGACTGACTAGTAGGTTCGACCTGACCAGCCATCGGAAAGACGCCACTCATCCGCATGAAGAAGCTTTCAGAAGAGACGGGCTGCAATATCTTGGGCAAGGCCGAGTTCCAGAACCCAGGTGGCAGCGTCAAGGACCGCGCTGCTCTCTACGTCGTCAAGGATGCCGAAGAGCGTGGTCTGATCAAGTCTGGTGGTACTGTCGTCGAGGGCACTGCTGGAAACACTGGCATCGGTCTCGCCCACGTCTGTCGCAGCAAGGGCTATAAGCTCGTCATCTACATGCCCAACACGCAATCACAAGGCAAGATCGATCTGTTGCGTCTGCTGGGTGCTGAGGTCTACCCTGTTCCTGCCGTCGCCTTCGAGAACCCCGAAAACTACAACTGGCAGGCCAAGCGCCATGCTGAGCGCCTTGACAATGCTGTTTGGACCAACCAGTTCGACAATACCGCCAACCGTCGTGCACACATTGAAACCACTGGACCGGAGATCTGGAACCAAACTGCTGGCAAGATTGACGCTTTTACCTGTGCTTCCGGTACCGCCGGCACCATCGCCGGTATTACCCGCTACCTCAAGACCGTCAGTGACGGTCGCGTCAAGTGCTTCCTTGCCGACCCGCCCGGCAGTGTCCTCCACAGTTACATCCAATCTGGCGGTGTTCTCACCGAGCGCAAAGGAAGCTCAATCACAGAAGGTATTGGCCAGGGCCGTGTGACCGACAACCTCAAGCCCGACATTGACCTTCTGGATGGCTCGCTCAACGTTCCGGACGAGCAAAGTATCGAAATGGTCTACCGCTGCCTGGACGAGGAAGGTCTTTACCTCGGTGCTTCTTCCGCTCTCAACGTTGCAGCCGCCAGAAACGTAGCTCAAAAGCTGGGTCCCGGAAACACTGTTGTGACCATTCTCTGCGATGGCGCTTACCGCTATGCCGACCGCCTCTTTTCGAGAAAGTGGCTCGAGAGCAAGAAGCTCGTCGATGCCGTTCCTTCCAACTTGCACAAGTACATTGTCCTGCCGTAGATGGACTGGCTTTGGGCATTGACTTGGTATCACGATATCTAAAATTGTACATACATGGCATGCATGGCATTCTTACACCGTCCGCGTATCATGTGCAAGCGTGTCACACATCTAACCGGTCAGGTGCGGCTACAACATAACGCTTGTGGTGCGAGACTTCACATCTTATGCACTGTCATAAGCACAATTGTCAAAGCAGTAAGTCCAAGTGTGCATTCAGTCATTATCAATAACCCATTTTCTCCAAAGCCGTCCGTTGCCATACCCAATTTTCCATCCCTTATCCCAGCCATTGTGCCCCATTATGATTTTAAANNAGTCATCGACAGATATACGTTTTGCAACGTCTTTGTCGTCATAAAAGGAGAGTTTCATAGGGGGCCACTTGCAAACGTCATTTGCAGCCGACCTCCTGTTCATAGGCACAAATAGTGCATCTAAGACCAAGCAGGAGGAAGACACTGAGTCCAACGGTCAGTTCGATACACAAAAGACGAAGAGGTGAAAGCCAAACTTACNAGCAATATCTGCCTCGGAAGCCTTGGGCAAAGGAGCAAACCAGCCCATCTTAGCAGACTGTTGCAGACCAGGCGAAGGCAAGGGTGTGGCCGAAGGCGATGTCGATGCCGAAGAGCCAGCAGAAGGGAAGAAACTAAACAGTGCTGATGAGAGTGTACGCGACACGGTTGGTCGTTGCGGCATGGGTTGAGCGANGGTGTGTGTTTTTCTTCTCGGCAGCTGCTTTTGCAGCGCCTTGTCTTGCTGTGCGCGAGCCTCGACGTAGTTGGAGGGTAGACAGTCGGCGGGAACATTATGTCGGATGTTGTTGCGAAGTGTCGCGTGTGTGATATGTGGTAATGAAATCGCAGGTCGCAAAGTGGAGATGCTCAAGAGTTTGCAAAGAGTCGTCAAAGTAGAGTTTTGCGGATAACGTTTGAACGATTGTCTGTTTGTCGAGGTGCGATGGAGAACACTCGATGGATTGCGGTGATGGCTTTGAAGTTGAACGAGAGTTGTGTGGATGAAAGAAAGAGAGAAGACTCTAGACCAGAAGGCGTCCCCGGACTTTTACGCAATGGACGGGTGTGTGCTTGCGTTTGTGGCGTCAAAGATGGCGTTTTCTTCCTTGTTTTGCCGTGGGGATGGGATGAATGCGGGATGAGTTTCCTGGGGTAGGCAATTCGTTCCGAGGACTCTTCTTGCTGCAAGCTTTCTCTTTGTCAAAGAGCAGAAACGAAAGTGAGGAATTGTCCTTGATTATGAAGCTGGAGAAGCGATGGGGAGCCGTAGATGATAAATCAGGTGGACGTAAACCACCTTTTTGTACGTACCTCTTCCTTTACTTTGCCCTGTTAATTGTTGCTGTGCTGGATCAGGTCAGGTTCCCGAGAGACAGGACATGCATGCGCCCAATTGCGCCTCCGACATGCAGGTTGGCAACCCTCTCCCCGGTCGAGAGCGTACCGCATCCAGCCGGAGATTGACCAAAACCGTCTCGACCGCCACTCGCCCGCACAGAGATCTACATTGCTGCAGCTGACGAGAGCCGTCCAGAACCACCATCCTCAGTCTCTCCTCATCTCCAAGAAATCTTGGTGCTGGGGTGATGCTGACAGCTGGAGTGTGAGGCATCCCAGTTCTTTGGATCCAACACCGCCATCACAGCGCCAAACCCTTCCTGGTCACATCAAGGGCTCTTTGTTCCTCTTGTCCGCTCTTTGTCGGCGTTCCGCCCTGCTCAACCTAGAGTTATATCCAAGGTCATGGCATCTCTTGTGATGGTGGCTTACGCTCTCTCCTCGGTAACCCCAGATCATCGTCCACTCGGACATGCCGCGTACCACCAAATGGCGGTGCGCAATCGCCCTTACCCTTTCCCCTCATGCAACTATATCGGAAGCCACTAGCCGTTGCAGCGTGCTACATCACATTTGCTCTCTCTCTTTCTCTCATTCATTTCGGGGAAGAATGGAACATTGCAACCGTCCATCTTCAATCGACAGACAGTTGTGTTGGATAGGTAAGATTAATCCAGCGAGCAAGCCAACAAAGGATATTTTCCTATCTCTTCTGCCGCGTCTTTTGTGTTTTGTTCTCCTCAAAGTCGCCAGGATAGAAGAGTTGGCTCGGTGATGACGGATCGATCACCATTCTCCAATTCTGGTATCCCGGGGTCAGGTTCGCAGATGTGGAGGCACAGCCCTACTTGTGCTACAGTCACAGTGTGGCTTGCATGCTTCCACTGCGCACCGCACATTGACCCTATGGGGCCTTGCGTCTTTTCGCTGATACTCTCCGATACACGAACGACTTGCGTGGGCTGGAACAACAACTGATATATCATCAATCACATTGCACAGGTTGTGCATTAGACATATCAGACGCGCGTCTGTCATGACATTTCGAGATTTGAATGCTCCAAGAAACAACATCCCGACCAATAGTCATTCAACTCTATAACCCAGTTGCCTTCTATTGTGTGGTTGTGAGACTCTGAGCGGCTTGTCGGCCCTGTTGTCCAGCATACATAGTCAGAGCTTTTGACGCATACCGTTACGGACCAAGCTACTAACTAGACGACTTCTGTCTTTCTAATCCAAACAAATGGATTCCTGGTTCGCAAGACCACGAGGAGCTATGCCGAGATCCAGTCAACATGCCATACCCAGCTACGGGTAACAGCATCAAACGATCGATCACTTATGTTGGCATTCCGTACAGCTCGTACTTTCGATGCACGTTTCTCGAAGTTACGAGATTACAAAACTCTTGATCATATTTCTGTTATATGAGATCGAGCATGGATCTGGCATTGCTGTTCTCAATGCTTTCGTATCCTGTTCGACACGAGGCCATCAACATAGAAGCAAGTGGAACGCTCGGAGAATTATATCCCACAATATAGACTCGGATACTCACATTCCTTGACCGCTCGTAAGCCCCGGATCATGAGTCTTGACGAACCAACTGCTCAGAAGAACACAGTCAGTCTTAGCAAGACGGTCTCCTCTGCTGCGCCTATTCTTACCCAGATGGAACAAGGCAGTGCTCATCCAGCAGGACAGGACGATCAGGCTAAGGTAGGCCTTGGTCTTGTTAGTAACTCAGTGCCCTGAGATCTTCGACATCAATACGACCCTGGAGCGGAGTCCATCGTCGCCGCGCTCGCGAACAGAGTATTTCTAGCATACCCTTGTCACCTTGATCTACGTTTCTGAACTCGAATTGAACTCTATGGATATAGTAGTCTCGTGAAAGCACGCACGATCCCGTATCTCGAATGCTCTCGGTATACCAACCCCTCGAGAATGACACGATTTGAGCAAAGAAGCTCAAGCGGGCCGGCTGTGGAATGGTCTATTTTTGGGGTATACGAGAAGCTTGGCACAACAAAACCCTGCCAAGGCTGATGGAGAGGCTCTTGGGTTACATCGTTCAGGACCACTTTCAATCAATCATCGCGGACTAACATACTCGTCTGCTGACTTACTATGCAAGGTCGAGAGTAGATGAGCCCGGCTGTGAGCTACTGACGACGGTCACAGGGTCAAGTGCAACACTATGGCTTGCCTGCAGCAGTGCCTCTATGCGAAGAACGGCCTCCAACCTCCACCAATCTCAGGTAAGACAAAAAACCTCATAAAGTTTTTTGCTGTAGGTCTGGGAATAAGCGGAAATGATCATCTTTGTGGAGCAATGCGGCTGCTCCATCAAACACTCACTTGCCTCGTATAATCAAGTCAGACATCCACACTGGATGCGAAGAACGCCTGATGATCGACAAAATTATCGACTGCTTGGAGAACGAGGTCCAAGAATAGCAAAGGCTCATGGCAGCAGAAGCTATGGATGCTCGAGTATAGTAGAAGCAAGAGGTAAGCCAACAGGTATATAAGGACCATCCCAGCCCTGCCAGAAGACGAGAATCATCAAAACAATCCAATCCTCTCTTCTCATCTACAAAGAACCACTGAACCAACCAAAACCACTTCAATCTACTCCTTCAAACCCTTTAAACCCAACCAACACCATCAACATGCACTTCACCACCTTCACCACCGTCAGCGTCCTCGCTCTCGCCTCCTCCGCTCTCGCCGGCAAGGCCGCAGTCAAGAACAACTGCCCCCAAGACGTCTTCCTCACCATCACCCGCAGCGACCAATCCCACACCCAGCAAAAGCTTGCCGCCAACGGAGGCTACTACAGCGAGCAACTGTCTGGCCAAGGCAACAGCTACGGCCTCACCAAGAACAGCGACTACTACTCTGCCAACACCGCCAAGCTGATTTGGGGTGCCTCTGACAGTGCTGGCGTTGTCTACTACTCGCTGAACAATGTTGATGGCAACCCCTTCGATGGTCAGAAGGTTGCCGTTACTGGAACTCAGCCTAACTGCCCTGCTGTCAATGGTGCTGACGGTAGCACTAAGGCTTGCTCTAACAGCAACGACTTTACCCTTACTGTCTGCTAGAGGATCCGTCTCTTGAGCCCTCGGATGCACCGGCTATGAAAGCATGAGCGGTAGAATTCTTGCTCGGGGTGGAATATATCAGCACACACTCTTTAATGTAATTAACTCTATTCAATACAAACTGCAGTTTTCATAAAACCACTTTCTGGCCCTGAAGCATAAGTCGTGCATGTCAACCTGTTTGAGATAAACTGGATGTTAAACAGCTTTCCTGTATTCGTGGGGGAAAAAAAGTATTGCAGACCATAGAGCATGCACAACACTCTCGTAGAGGAAAGCTATGCCCTCAAGGGTTTCGCCGCTCTCTGTGTTCTGCTTGTATGTTAATTGTTCCCTAGATCTGCTTGTTGCGTGAGAGGTGCCTTTGTGCTCTTATAATGGCCGTATAAAGGCAGAAGTCGGCTCAGCGATACATCGGTCTGGGCTGGAGATGCGCATTCATCACACGATTCAATGAGGTGGTATTGAGGCTTCATCACCATGCTCTGTCTCCAGGCTTGGTCTTCAGGCCTCCGGGAGGATGATTCGTATCGTACGGCGCTTTTCACGCAAGATGTCCATACAGACTGCATGGCTCAGACACAATAAAAGCTAAGGCTATCCACTATGAGGCTTTTCGCCCTTGGGTGAGTTTGAGCTTTGGTTGCAAGGTGATCTTGGAAGCATCAGTGTCAGAGGCAACAACAGCCTTGACCGCTGAAAGCTGATGCTGTGCGAGTTGCGTGGTGTTATAGCCATCAGGACAGTCATACATCAGAGAACATCGCAAAATTCATGTCTGTGAGGAAAGAGGTCAAACACCAAAGTCCAGTACACTCACCCAAACCTCTCATAAACCACCAAGATAGTAAGAAAGCATATCGTGATATCGCAAAGGCAGCAAAAAACCAAAGCCCATTTCAGAGCCGTGGAGAAAAAGCCCAGCCCGGTTCAGTGGCGCCCTCCATCGGGGCTCGAACTCGTGATGGGTAGATAGGAAAGAACATAAGGTGGGGGCTTTTATTGTGTTAACGTAGTTCTTGCCCACTGTACTAAATGACCGAGCTCGTTCGCTCGCTTTAGATTTGGCTTCGAGCTGCGGGGAAGCTGCGCTGAGTTCCGAGTTTAGAGGGTATATATGGGTTGAGGGGGTTTTGTGGGATGGCGGTGATGGTGAGGAGGGAGAGGACGGGATTTCCAGGGAGTAGGATTTCTTGTCCTGAGTATTGGTGTTGCGTAGAGCATTTGGTGTGTTTCTTGTTCCGGGCATCTAGTGTTGCGTGATAACGTGACCATGGCCTGTTCCTTGCTGCATCAGTCACAGCTTTTGCCCTCCAAAATGACTTTTTGCTCGTCTTGATAATTCGATTGTTTTGGTCCTGGTTTTTGGTGTTGTGCAGAGTATCCAGTGTCTTCGTTTTTCCCAGACATGTGAGATGCGATCGTGGTCCTTGTGTTGCTACATGTCCTACAGCTTTGTCCATCTCCAAGTCGCATATCATACTTTCGATCCAGTCTTTGATTCCCTCTCTTGTTGAATGTTCAAGATATCTGCTCACAAGTCCTTGTTCTCCAGCGAGATGCCTGGGGGAAAAAAAGACCAGATAGCTGTCAGCCTGCATCATCATACAATAGGTAGTCAGTTTTTCGGTTTAATAGCAAACTCGCACAATTTGAATTAGCGACTCCCGTAGGATTTCGTTTTATCCTCGTAAAGAAATGTAGGCAACCGCTCTATTGCTTTCAGTCTGTCTTATGCCTGGTCTGGATTTTTCCGTGGTAGATCGTTGTTTTTGCCAGCTCCAGGCCCAGTTTCCCGATGGTTGCGTGTAGCCGTGAATCTTGTCTAGACAAGGGAAAAAATGTTCACTTGTTCTCTAACGTCCGTCTGACGAGACTGGACTGCTGAATTATTATGACCAGAAGTCAATCATCTCTTCTGTTCTTGATAGCTGAGCCCTTAGTCGCAGTCGAGCTTTCAATCCAGTCATTTGCCCTTTTCTCCTTGTCTTGGTGTATCCAACGCTTATTTCGACAAAATATGACCTGCCTCTGGAAGCTGTTTACAATTTGCGAGCGATAGAGTTCTTTTCACGCGGGTGAAGTGAGGTCTCTGTTTCACATTCTCACATGCAAAAGTCTCGAGATAAGTTGTCACCCTGGTCGTAGTCATTGGAGTCTGCGTTTGGTCACTTGAACGCTGTGTAGAGTACAGAGTATCTTTACCAAGGTCAAGCACAAGTTTTCGAACAATCAATGAAGGATGTACTCTTGTACGATTTGTGATCGGTCTCTAGTTTCGTAATGATACATATCTCTCCCTGCCCATGGCCATGGCCATCCCCATATCTTGAGCCAGGCAAATGCTTTTTCTTCTCAATCACGCCTTGAACGCCTTGCTGTTCCCAAATCAACGCGCCTCTCATTCGAGGCCTTCCATCCAGTTGCTGACAGTGACCTGTGGCTCAGGGGTCTTCTAGTCCTGAACGTCTCTCATAGCGGCTGTGAAGTAGAATCTATAGTCAGCCTTTCTACTCATTGAGACACAGACACTTCACGGCGTGGAATACCGGGAGGCAAGGTTTCCACCAAGTTTCTCGATGCACGCCAGCACTGGATCAGGTTGTCCTCGGCGACCGAGCACATCATCCAAGGGTCGTTCTTGTTCCAGCTGAAGTCTGAAACACGGCTAGTGTGACCACCGTGCATGAAAANGCCTAGTATGATATTAGCATTGAAGTGGAAAACCAAGAGAAGAACAGCCACATACATTTCTGGTGGACCATCTTCAGCATCGTCGGGTGTCTGCTCGCTACCGGCACGGCTGATATCCCAGAAGATGACTCGGCGGTCGTCGCCACTGCTGGCCAGGATGCAGGGATCGTGAGGATGCCATTCAATCTTAGTGACGACGTCCTGGTGTCCCTCCATGCTGTGGATCTTGCCGTGCTCGGNGAATCTCATGTCAAAGATTCCAACGGTGCGATCTGCCGAACCTGTAGCGAAAAGCACATCGTGCTTCTGGTGGAATGCGAGTGTGTTGATGGCATCGGTGTGGCCTGTGATTCTTATGGCAGGTTTTGAGTTGGAGTTTGTACGCAGGTCCATCAGGCAGAAGGTCCTGTCGTCTGCGACTGTTCCAAGAAGGTTCTTTCCATGCATGGGGTGCCATTGCACGTCGTTGACTGTGGCGCTGTGGTGGTTGAATATGCGGGCGGTGGTCAGGGTCTTGTCGGTTTTCGAGAAGTTGTTGATGTNCCCTGGGAGAAAGTTAGTCAGGTGGGAGGATCATAGCAAAAGGCGACGAGCATACCAAACGCGGACAGTCTGGTCTTCGCTACCAGTAGCCAGTTGACCCTCAAAGTGAGGGTTCCAGTCGAGACCAAAGCCTTCCTTCTCGTGACCCTTCAACTCAATCTGGGCGTCGACCTGGTTCGTCTTTGGCATGGACGAGTGTTTTGTGCGGTCGAAAACGAGAGCGTCTCNCTGGATGGTCATGGTCGCGATGAGGTCGGGATTTTGTGGCATGTAGCGGGCCTTGTTGATCTCGCCGGGGTGGTTGATCTTTTGAATGACATTAAAAGAGATGGGCTGTTTGGCAGCACCGTGGCCGCCAATCTCCTCCTTCTCTGCATCGTAGTCACTTGGGTTGACGGCGGGCTTGTTGGGCAGGTCGACAGTGGCAATCTGGAGGTAGTCCTGTGTGGCGCCTGAAGTGTGTGTTCCAATCAGGAGGCGGTGGGTGGAGAAGTTCTTGTCGGGCAGAGACTGGACATCGGGCAGCCACTGGGTTGTAAGGGTGGGCCATTCCAGGGCTCTGCTGTAGATGACATCGTAGAGGAAGACGGCGTTCTTCTTCCAGACCTTGTACTCTTCGTTGATGATCTTGTTCTCGACGGCGGGGTCACTGACGCCAGCAGGCTGTGCTTGCATGTCTGGCATTGCGCTGTCAGTTGGAGAAGGCTATGAGGTTGTAGAAGGTGGACCGAATGTGAAGGTTGAAGACGACGGCGATGTGAGAGACGGCAAGACACACCTTGATCCATGATGGGAATAGTTTGTAGTGCTGGTTGGTGATTCAACGACAGAGTAGCAGACAAAGATGATCAAATGCGATTAAACGCGCTGTCGAGCTTGAGACGCGTTGGCGTTTGCGCTGAGATTGGCTGCCAAGCAAGTCTGGAATCTGGGGTAGCTGCTCCATCTGGCGTCCGTGCGGCGTCACTCTCGACATCATCAAGACGCCGCCTCTCGCGACGCTCTCCTTCTTTCTTTCGAGGACTCCGTGTCGAAATATCCCGCCATACGCCCTTTCCGCACCCTTTCTCTTCTCATCCCCTTCTCTCTCCCATTACTAGACCCCAAAAGTTGATCTTGGAACACAGATCATCATCATGGGTGAGTCGCCGTCCGCAGTCCTGCCAGCACCACACCCATAGCTAACCACATTGCGCGCCTCCAGGTGTCCCCAAATTCTTCCGATGGATGAGCGAGCGCTATCCCGCCATCTCCCAGCTTATCGCCGAGAACCGCATTCCCGAGTTCGACGCTCTTTACCTTGATATGAACGGTATCATCCACAACTGCACCCACAAAGACGGCGACCATGTCACCAAGCGCATGACCGAGGACGAGATGTTCATCGCCATCTTCAACTACATCGAGCACTTGTTTGGCAAGATCAAGCCCAAGCAGCTCTTCTTCATGGCCATCGACGGTGTCGCTCCCAGAGCAAAGATGAACCAGCAGCGTGCCAGACGTTTCCGTACTGCTCTCGATGCTGAAAATGCTCGCGAGAAGGCCATCGCGGCTGGTACTGAGATGCCCAAGGAAGCCCCCTTCGACAGCAACTGCATTACCCCTGGAACCGAGTTCATGGCTCGTCTTACACAACACTTGAAGTACTTCATCGCCAAGAAGGTCTCTGAAGACATCGACTGGCAAGGCCCCGAGATCGTTCTTTCCGGACACGAAGTCCCTGGAGAGGGAGAACACAAGATCATGGAGTACATCCGCAAAGCCAAATCACAACCCGACTACGACCCCAACGTCCGCCACTGCCTTTACGGCCTCGACGCTGATCTCATCATGCTGGGTCTTCTCAGCCACGACCCTCACTTCTGTCTTTTGCGTGAAGAGGTTACCTTTGGCCGCCAGAGCAAGGCCAAGTCAAAGGAGCTGGAACACCAGAATTTCTATCTCATGCATCTTTGCATAGTCCGCGAGTATCTTGAGCTGGAATTCCAAGAGTTGAAAGAGCCCGGAGTTCTGGGTTTCCAATTCGATATGGAGCGTGTCATTGACGATTTTATTCTTATGGCTTTCTTCGTCGGTAACGATTTCTTACCCAACCTGCCTCATCTACACATCAACGAGGGCGCTTTGGCCCTCATGTTCGGCGTCTACAAGAAGATTTTGCCTCTCGCCAAGGGCTATATCAACGAGGGCGGTGTTATTAACCTCGACCGACTTTCTATACTCCTCGATGAGCTCTCCCACGTAGAGTTCCGCCATTTCGAATCGGAAAATGCCGATGCTAGCTGGTTCAAGGGCAAGCAGACTGGCCGTGAAGATGTCATGGTCAGAACTAAGAACAAGGGCAAGGTTGTCATGACCTCGTCGCAAAAGGAGGTTTACGCTCGCGTCAGACAATACGTCAACAGTCGCCCTGCCGACTCCGAGCCCGCACCTCTCGATTTATCCGCCTCGCTTCCTGCACGCGACCGAAAGTTCGTCGAAGACCTCGCCGACAGCCTCCACCTGCAATGGAAGAGTGTTGTTGACGATCAAGGCGAGCGTCATCTCCAGCTCTCGTTNCTTCCTCGCCCTCCATCCGATGACTCGGACGATGAAGAGGACGAGGAAGCCCAGACAGCGCTCCTCAGAGTGGTCAAGAGATATGATAATGCTGAAATCGTCGACATCAGTGCTGAGGAGGCTCAAGAGCAGATGACCAAGAAGTACGACGAAAAGTTCGCCCAGTGGAAGGACACCTACTACAAGTCCAAGTTCGAATGGGGCACTGAGAACGAGGAGGAGCTCCGCAAGTTGACCGAAAACTACGTTCAAGGCTTGCAATGGGTTCTGTACTACTACTACCAAGGTGTCGTGTCATGGCCCTGGTATTACGGTTACCATTACTCGCCCATGATCTCCGACGTCAAGAGAGGTCTCAAGGCCAACATGGACTTCAAGCTTGGCCAACCCTTCCGTCCTTACCAACAACTCATGGGTGTGCTTCCCGATAGAAGTAAGACGATCGTGCCCGACGTCTACCACCCTTTGATGACTAGCCCTGACTCACCTATCATCGATTTCTACCCCCGCGACTTCGATCTTGACATGAACGGCAAGAAGATGGAGTGGGAAGCTGTTGTCAAGATTCCTTTCATCGACGAGCAGCGCTTGCTCAGCGCCATGTCTACTAGAGATCATCTGCTATCAGACGCACAGCGCGCCCGCAACGAGTTCGGTGTTAGCTTGAAGTTCAGCTACGCAGCCGAGATGAACTTCACCTACCCATCATCCCTGCCCGGCGTTTTTCCAGACATTCCTAACTGTAAGTGTGTCGAAAACATTTTCGAGCTCCCTACTATGGAAGGTCTGGATGTCTACATTGGTCTTGTTGAGGGTGTCAAGCTTGGTGAAGATGCTTTGGCTGGATTCCCTAGCTTGCGCACCCTCCCTACCACCGGCACTCTTGGCTTCCACGGAGTCAACGTTTTCCAACAAGAGAGCAGGAACGAAAGCATGGTTGTTACTCTGATGAATGCAGAGGAGACCAGCAGCATTGAGCATGCCAAGCTCAAGCTTGGAAAGGCCGTTCATGTCGGCTTTCCCTTCTTGCACGAGGCAAAGGTTACCAAAGTTTCCGACGAACTGTTTGATTATGTTCTTACCAACTCCAATGACGAGGCTTCACCAAACAACATCGAGGCCATTCCTCATGGTGCCCCCGAGATCTCGAACTGGAAGAAGAAGGCCAGCCGCATTGAGAGCGTCTATTCAAAGAGACTAGGTGTTGTCATCAGTGATGTTGAGGCTATGGTTCACGTCGAGATGCTTGTTGGTCTGAGAAAGACGGACGAGGGTGCTACCGTCAAGGAGTATTCCATGGTTGAGGGTCTCGAGGCTGACTACGCTGCCCAAGCCATTGTCGACGAAGTCGTCTCTGCCGACCAACGTTTCTTGGAGAAGGCTGCTCTTCCGCTCGAAGAAGAGTTTCCTCTCAACTCCCGCGCCTTCTTCCTTGGCGACTTCAATTACGGTAGACCCGCTATTGTCGACGGCCATGAGAACGGCAAGACCAACGTTAGGGTTAACACGGTCAAGGTCAGGGAACCTGACTTCGGTCACCAGATCGCCCATCAGGCCGAACGCCAGTTTCCCTACAAGCCTGCCTTTGCTGTTGCAAGAGAACTGAACCTGCACCCTCTTGTACTGTCCAAGTTGACTGCATCTTTCCGTGTCAATTCATCAGGACTGCAGCTCAACCTCGGTCTCAACCTCAAGTTTGAGGCTCGCAAGATGAAGGTTTTGGGCTACAGTCGCAAGTCGGAGCGTGGTTGGGAATACAGCCAGAAGGCCGTCGATCTGATTGCTACTTACATGACCAAGTTCCCCGAGTTTGTCGCACGCATCCAAGCCAATCCTTCGGGTGATGTGTTCAACGACACCGATTTCTACCCTGCCGACGTCGCTAAGGACAAGATGAAGGAGATTGGTGCTTGGCTTAAGAGCGTCGAGACCAAGTCTTTAGAGCGTGTCCCTCTGGACGCTGAACAGATGAACTCCGACACTGTCATGGCCCTAGAGCGTGCCGCAGAGCACTATCTGTCTCTCTCTGCCAACCAGATCGAGGACAAGCCCATGCGTGGCGTGCCTCGTCATGCTCTGCTCAAACCTAGTGATGCTGAGCAACGTCTTGGTGCTCAGCGCTTCACCCTGGGTGATCGCATTGTCTACGTCCAAGACTCTGGTCGTGTTCCTATCGCTTCCAGAGGTACCGTCGTCGGTGTGACCAAAACACCCAGAATGACCATGCTCGATGTCGTGTTTGACTACTCTTTCATGTCTGGTACCAGTCTTGGCGACCGCTGCAGTCCTTTCAGAGGCAGCACTGTTCCTGTTACCAGCGTTTTGAACCTGACCGACAGACAATGCATCGCCGAGAGCAAGGCTGCTGCATCAAAGCGTCAGCCTCCCAAACAAACTCCCTGACCGTCAACAACGGCTACGGACCTCCCAAGAGCAATGGCGTCCTGCCAACGCTCCTCCTCCGCTCAGAGGCTCTTTCAGCGGAGCCATGAATGGACGCGGTCGTGGTGGTCACGATAGTCTTCCTATCCGTGGCGGAAACCCCAACCGTGGTCGCGGTCGTGGAGGCAGAGGCGGTTACACCATTGTCGACAACAGCGATCCTATGGAGAACGTTGTCCGCAACAACCTTGCCTTCCGCCCTCAGAACATGAGCGCCGTCCCTCCTCCAGCTATCTTGAACAACGATTACCCCGGCAGAGGCAGAGGTCGTGGTCGTGGCGAGGGTAGAGGTCGTGGCGCAGGCCGCGGCGGCTTCGCACCCAGAGGAAGAGGTGGTGCTGTCAACGGTGATCACAGCTCGTAGGGAGGGCTTGTACCATATCAGGATTCGACGCACTGGGTCACGAAGAATACGGAATTAGTGAGCAGAAGATAAGGCATGATTTGAACGTTAAGAGAAGTGGGGTCTTGAAGATATATATCTTGCTTTCTATGATTCTGGATCTTGTTGCTTTTTGATTTTTCTCGTAGGAAGAGATACCCCAAATGCCATCGGCTTATAGAACCTTTTGACTTTTTCAACATTTTCTTTGAAGTCGATTGTGCACATATTCTATAGAGCACATGAGGAAAGGTTTCTCTTTGCCAAATCTTCCAGTTCGGATTGCTATGATATTTTTGGACGTTTCGCGTACAAAATACCTTGTCCTCGTTGAAACGATTGTGGTTGTGCCTTCCTGTCACTATTTCGGTCCTACCACGCCATCCATCATCTGATCATCTACCCTTATTGGGAGAGAAACGAGTCACTGGGCAAGTTTCTAACAGGTTCCAGGACGAGCTATCAAATTGTCAGAAATCCAGTCTCTCGTATCCGCGCTCTTACGCGAAACCACTTACCGAGGAAGAACCATCCAGAGATAGTGCTCTCACCACCATGCTCGCAGTTGAAGACCTCATTGGTAAGCCTCTCATAGCAATCATCATCGCCGAGATCAAAGCCAACATCAGTATTGAGGTTCTGAACCACAAATTCGATACCCATGTTGCCAGAACGGGGGCACATGGCTTTCAGTTGGCGAGGATCGTAATTGCCGGTGAACATGCCGCCAGGGTTATAGCAGGCATCGTGAACGAAGGTGCGAGCTTCCTCTCTATTGGGGAAGTATTGGCCAGAGCTGTAGCAGGTGGCGGTTACGGTTTGGATACCGAAGGCTAAGAAGCCCGTGAAGGTGCAGAGGACGGTGGTGGTCTTCATTGTTGGGAAAAGAAGCTGATGATAGTATCTGAATGATAGAAGTGATTGTTTGTTTGATGAGACAGTAGTTGGGGGTCGAGTCAGAGTAGTCCTTTTATATCTTCCTCTTTCCATCTTCTTGGCCAAACACTCCTGCCAGAACTCTGCGCATCATAGAATTCAGAGCTGACTCGCAGCAGGGTCCAAAAATCCTCATTCCAAAGTGTTGGATTGCAGGTCTTGACCGGTCAGAAGATTTCTTCGAGATGGAGTGAATCTTGACCATTGATGAAGGTTTTTGAACGGAGTATGTTGGCGGGCTTGTCTGTTGGAACACCTTGGCTGAAGCACAGCCAAGGAGGGAAGGTAAGATTCTGTGCTCCTGCCTGATTTTGTGCGACGACTTTGATCATGAGATGTGATCGTTGACTGTGGTAAGCTTTGGTGTGTCCCGTGCTCCTACACTTCATATTTTTGCAGTCAGGCTTGCTGTGTGGAACAACGACCCTCCGGCCTATAAGGTGAGTCTCCGAGGATTCCTTGCCTAAATGAACCATCACCGTCTTTTGGCCATGTCATACAGAATGATTCAGTGAGTAAATGGCGGTCACACTACTACATTCGTACGAAAGGTTGTAGGTGGCTGTGTGCATGTGCTGCTCGGTCGGGAATGGATCTGCTCCTGGGTCTTGATCATCACTTTTGTGTTGTAAAGCGACCATTAATGGAACGCCCGCGTGAAAGCACAGAGCGTCATGTCGCAATCTCGCCTGGATTTTGGGGGAGGTCAGACTAAACTCGATCTGTCGCGGCCATTGAATGATGAAGACTACTGTTGTATGTTGAGGGAGGGACATCGCAGGGTCGCCCTGTTGGTTTTGCCAATGAGCTGGTTTTCAGCATATTTGCATGCAGGAAGAAATCAAGGAGAACCTGAGCCCCTTGGATGATTATGGAGCATCGCGCCTTCCGCCTTGCCTAGGTATCTGGTTCGTGGTTTGGTGATTTCGTTGTCCTTGTTCATCACGAGCGACTTGGTGACTTCCTGGTTGGCCTCCGACGGGAGCGTCGTTCATGTAGATCGAACAGTCACTGGAGTTTCATTCAGATCGTCTTTCGTGATGGTTTCTTACAGGAATGAAGAGATGGCTTCGGATGATCCAGGACCACCTGACTGGGTTAACGAGATTTTCACCGTCCCTTTCTACTACTCAACGATACCACAGCTAAGGGCTTGACAGAATGTAGGTGAGAATCTTTCTATTAATAACAAGGCTGGTCTGTTGAATAGGCCGTTACCTGATGGGCAGTAGCAGAGACGTATCGAGTCATAAGTAAGTGAAACAGGTGGAGTTCTCAGCCGCTCTATACCCTTCGGTAAAGCTCGCGATCTACCGACCAGACATATAGACTCCAATCGCAGCCACGATAGTGTTCGGATTCGATAGCAACGCGCATTTTATGCTGGTGCAAACCTCCATCTTCCAATTTCCACCACCCACCGGTGCCGTCAGTCCAATGGCTGCGGACCATTGCTCCGATAATCAATCGGTTGGGTCGATTAAACACGAGGACTTTTTTTCTGAGTCACAGGCAAGCCATCGTGCTTGCTTTTGACGTTGAACTCGTCCTCATCCTTGAAGATTTCGTGCCGTAGATCTGGATGGATGTCTTCAGCACAAAAACCAGTCGACCAGGTGTACTGGCTGCTTGCTTTCTGCCATTTGTTGCTGTCACGATAGGTTAATAAAATGCAGCTAGAATTTGACTTTTGTAGACTTACGTTGGCCAATAATTGCCGCCTCCGGTCAATCGGTCTATACCCTCAACCACTACCTGTCTCTTATGCCAGAGAGACCCGGTATCCATCCAACTCTTTCTGGTCTCGAGGGCCGCGGTCATTGTAGACGTTTCTCCTTCGGAGACTCTGCCTCCGTGAGCCAGACTGAGCGAACGGTCCCTCAATGCGTCAATAGCTGGCAGCTGCGCACGTACTCCAGCCATTGGACTAGAGCGTGCGAGGATACCCAGCAAGATGCTCTTCTGCGCAAGTTGGGTGGGCAAATCTGAGACGTCCGTCAAACTTCTTGGATGTGGAACTCGATTACCCACGTTCAAGTTCGCGTAGTGCTGCAGGTGAGCGATTGAAGGTATCGGGTCGTTTTTCTCGAGAAAAGTGTTCCATGCTTTGAGGATATCTTTTGGATCTGTAAAGCTCTTCGGGATGCTCCCTCTGTCCAGACCTGTTACAAAAATTTCATGGGTTGAGCTCGTTTCTTGGTACTCTTGAGACATCTTTTGCATGTGAGAGGTAGCGACGCTGGCTTCCACTTTGGAAAACGCGAAGTCCGAACCGATTTCGGCGGCAATCTGGTTCAGCTTCTCACTGCTCTTTGCCGTGAATGTCGAAGTTGAAAAGAAAGATGCTTGACGAGTCCAGCCCGTGACGGAGTACTGTCCGTATTGCTCAAGGAACCTGTCGGAATTGGACATGGAAAAGGGAGTCCTCCATGCATTGAGACACGATTCCGCTTCATCCGTCAGCTCCAAGTCACGGTCGAAGTGTTGTGCGGGCAAAGCTATCGTGCATCTGATGATAACGGTCATGTTGGTCTCGTTACACTTCGCACTGCTCAAACACGATGCTGCCGCTCTGACTGTAGCTATGCCGAACAGACCTCCAACCGAACCGGAACTGACGGTAGACATGTAGCTTTCGAGGTCTTCGGACTTGCGGAAACTCTTGTACGTCAGGTGGATTTCCACAGACTCCTTCAGCGCGGGAGCGGTTAATGAATCTTGGGGGAGTTGTTCGAATGGCGAGCGGACGACCTGCTGTCCACTGGCGTTGTAACCTGAGCCGATTGTCATGTGAGGGACCCATGGTATACTGCCGTTTTCACCAAGACGTAGTAGAGTTATTTCATCCATTGCAAGATAGGTTTCTAGATTGACAACACGAAGGACATCAAACTGTGCCGGAGCTCAAGTACTCTAGAAGGCCTCGGTGAGTCGGCACCTTCTGAGGAGCTATGGAACACACATGAGGCTGTACCCCGCTGCGGCTGAGCTGCGGATACCGTTGTCGTCGTGCAGCGGCACGCGCGATAGCTGAGGTAGTCAGTCGTGATTATCGCCGACCGGGTCAATTGGAGATTCCCAGCGACATGCATCGAACGTTAGGAAGGACAATGCATCCTGTACGCAGTAGTACACTCAATAAGCACCATATCTATCGATGTGGTGCAAGGTAACTGCGCTTTCGTAACTGTCGCCGAGCAAAAGACGACCGAAGAGGCTTGGGTGGGTCACGTTTGTATATCGGCGAGTCTGATGCTAAGCAACTTAGACGTGCATCTCAGCTGGACGAAATCATGTATTGCACAGCTTGCGCAAGAATCTAGAAGTAGGAAGTGCCTATTCGCTCTTTGAGTTGAACCCGAACTTCAGCCATTGCTTACCTAATCAGACGCTAACCAAACAGAGTAGAGCATTTCCTGAAGCACCAGCACTATCGATCCACTGCATCGACGACCTTGTTGAGGCTTGAGAAAGTTTACCACAGCTTGCCGCGCCAACTCTTATGTATGTGCGGATATCGGAAGCAACGGCAATGGTACTGCAACGCGAGTTGTCTTCTTTCATGCCGTAGTATGAGTATATGATGGCCATGCATCCCGCTTTGAGGCAAGATACCTATTTCTCACGCCTTCTCGAATTCTGGAGCTACAGGTATCATGGGGTTGTCATAGAGTTCTGCAACAGCGAAGGAGGAGATCGGTCTCACGGATCAAGACCTGAATGAGAAGTTAGATCTGGACACAGTCCCAATCGAACATCCGATCGAGTTATGAAGCTGAAAGGGAACGGTCGAATCATCGACAACCATCTGTAGGACTACATTCAAGCTTACTTAAGGTACAGGGCTTGGACAATGCTCCGAGAGAACGTACACCAATCCGCCTTGTGTTATGCATAGACGGGACCTGGACTGATCCAGATGGTTTCAGTAATGGTTCCCTTGGTAATATCCCCAACATCTATCGTATTCACTGTATGGTGAAGAACGGCAAAGTTTACGATAAGCAATCCCAAAAATGGTACTTCCAGCACTCAAAATACCATCAAGGTATCCATAATCCCAACAGCTGGATGGGTAACCTTCGTTCCGGCTACGATGGTTCCGGTCCAGACGGAGTCCATGCAATGGTTGCACGCCTGTACGAAACAATAGCCCGCCACAAGCTTGGACCTGGAGATGAACTATTCCTGTTCGGTTGGAGCCGCGGTGCATACATCGTCCGATGTCTTGCCAACATTCTACATTTCTTACGTTTGCCTAAAGCTCAAGCCGATACACCTCAGTTCAAGAAGACTTTTCAGACTGGTCTGGGTCTATACAAGGCTATTCGCGAACGGCCTGAAGATTGCCTTGGCAAGATCAACGAATATTTCAAACAATGCAAGCCTGCAGAGAAACTTCCAGTGATCAAGTATGTAGGTCTTTTCGATACCGTGAAGGCTCCTGATGATAGAGGATTATATCATTTCGCTCCCGTTACCTCTGTTCTACACTATCGTCAAGCTCTAGCTTTGCACGAACGTCGCCAGGCACTCCAACCGGAACAGTTCGTCTTCCCTCCGGATACTCTGGATTGCGATATTCAGCAGGCATGGTTTGTCGGTGCCCATGCAGATATGGGAGGGGCTAACTCGAAAGATGGTCTCTCTCTATATCCATTGCAATGGATTGTTCACGAAGCGAAACTTGTTGGGCTCGGTCTTGGTGGCTTCATTCCTCAGCGTTTCCAGACTCTCACAGGCCCAGGCCCTTCCTTAGATGATCCTGAAAGGAGTATATTCCCGCCGGACATCGACAAAGCGCAGAAGCTACAAAAGTCCGATGGTTCATACGTGATGAAACTGGCCAACGGAATCAATGTACATATCTGGGACCTGCGTAAAACCTATCCAAATGACTGCAACTATAAGCTAAAGATCAACAAGGACGATGGCTGACTCTTTAATTTGGTCGG